CCGGCTAAGGGAGCAAACTACGCAGGAAAATAGCACTGCAAAGAGAAGGAAATTTGACACCAGCCCTATGCCAACCTGTCTGGCCAGCCAGGTATAGTAGGCAAAAACCTCCTTTCTAAGGAGAGGCCTATGTCTAGCAGTGGACTACTAAAGGCTGTTGATGATGAACTCGAACTAGCTATTATCTAATGGTGGCAATATCGCTGTGAGTCATCTTCTATAATAACTAGCTAGTACATTACATATTATGCTCACGTCGCGTCGCCATCTCGCCTCTTCTGCATTTCACTTAACATTTATTGAGTAAAATAGACTAAGGGCCACTGATTGGTGTATTGAATTGGACTTTTGATGTAACGAGGACTTTCGGATAGAGGTTAAGGGTCCAGCAGAGGGCACGGAAATACAAAACCGGCATCAATAGATAAGCAACAATAATTTCAGTTTGTACAAGACAGATTGTCTTTTACACAGGCTATCAACCAGACCTCAGTGAATGTGAATGTGTTAACTACAGACATTCGTTAAAGAGTTTCTAAAGCTAATTTATTATTATCCAACAAAATTTAATGGTGTAGTATTCTACACATTTATTTACAACTTATAGGATTCTTTCTACAGTTGATTTATGTGTACTAGTTCATCAGTGCACGTGAATCGTATAAAACGAACTTTTCTTTTCTTGTGATATGAGAGATGAATTGAGATGATAGTTTAAACTGTGTACCCTGATTTTAACTTTAGATTTCAATAGCTTAGTACATTTTAAGTTCAAGATTTTAAACTTTTATATGACTAATATGTCACACAGGTACTGTGTACTAACAGTAATAAACAAGGATAAATTTATGCACTTGAAACGTAACAACTAGAGCAGCGAGCAGACCGCTCCGCCATCCACTACGCCACTACACCATCCGTGCAGTCTATTAAAACAAATCTGGAAATTTAAAATAAAAAGTATTGTAGAACTATCCCTGTTCCAATTTTTAGGTTTCACAGTTGACAAAGTAGGTAAATATTACATAATTATTAATTGAAAATTAACAGTATTCATTATATTCTTTGTAACAGGTGTAATAAGGAGCCTTGCTGAGAATAATGTCGAGTGTGGAATAAGAACGCTTTCTGAATACAGCTTTTACCCATCCAGAAGTTCTGCAGCCGCAACTTTGCCACTCGAATACTGCGCGGAGAAGGACGGTTCATGCAAACTCATTGTAGCCTGGCACATTTCTAATATAACCATAGAGAATTTCGAATTTTTGAAGAACGAACACAATTTTAAAAAGTACTTCATAAAATCAGGACCATATCTTGAACATGTAATGTAATTAGATAAAAAATTATAAGATAACAACATTAATGGGAGTACTTTGATAAAACTTTAACTAATTATATACAGACGATGTTGTTTTTATTAATAAAAAATGAAAGCCTTAACCTTTGGAATTTAATTGCGATTTGAGTACTTTGTTTAACAAAGATCAATTAACAAATCAAACATACTTTTTATTTCTTGTACAATCATGAGTTCTGTACATAGATGGAATATGTATTAAGTTATATACGAAGGTCAATGAAAACCACATGGATCTTGTGCATATTCATTGATATATTCTTATGTAGATAAATAAGCAGAGACTGTTGGCCAACTAATAAACAGTTAATCTTAACTAACTTAAATAGGACCTTACAGCTGCTTATTGATATCTCTAATTACATTTTTATCTACAACTGTAATACGTTCGTGGACCCGTAAACGTTATTCGGCTGTTAACAATCGTGTTCTTTCTATTGCTCTACAATGAGTATTATTGATATATATATAATAATAAAAAGTATTGTGATTTCATGTCTTTATCGTAGCGGCGTATCTTTATCGTATTAAAGTTTCCGCGTTTACGTACCCATTTGGGTACGTAAACGCGGAAACTTTCAACTACCCACTGAATTTTCAATCCCGAGACTTCAAATATCCCTCCCTCGCTCTACCCGTTCTAGCTATCCCAATATACATTTTTCCTATGTCCTGTCTAACAGCTATGACATTCCAAGAACGGTTGGTGTCAGGAGGCCATAAAAAAAAAAAACGTGTGCGTCTCGAAGTTATAACTTAAACTAATCTAATTTGAATTATTTAATATTGAAATTGTTTAACTTGAGAAAAGCTTATGTTATTACTTAAATTTGATGTAAAGCGTCTGTCTGAAATACGGCTAGCGCTGTGGGTTAGGGTGAGAGTGGAGGAGCCTGCCTACCGCTGCCGTATGCGTAACAGAAAGGGAAGCCAGACAGACTGGCGCCGTAACGCATTACGTAACGAAGCGATTTACCCTCCCATAAGAAGTTATCACTTCAAAAACAAAATTCTTTGCATATACAATTGAGTACAGCACGAGGATAATAATGACTATGATTTTTTTTTTTAAATAAAATATAAACAAATGACGATTATCTAATATTGTCTTTTTTTTTTATTATCTTGTCACCTCTTGAATATTGCAAGAATATCCAAAAGCAGATGACCATCTGTAAAAATAGCAGTTTCATTAAGCTGATACAATAGCATAATAGAGGTGTTTGAACCCTTTGCGCATGGGCTCATTCTGTTTATTAAAGGATGAAGTCTGTTAATGGAGTTTGATCAGTTCTGATCGGTCTTGTTTTGTAATTTAAATGTTATAAAAATATTGCTTAGAGAAAACCTTAAAATGGTATGGAGTCCATGGTCAGCTTAATTAATCGAATCATACTTTTTTGAGGAATATTTCAACTATATTAGCAGAAAAAACATGTTTATAAATAGAAATAAATTGTAAAATATGATTAATTAAACTCGAATATGAATGAATCAATTCTGCTCTGAAGATAAAATCAGATTTTTTACTATCTTGTGAGACTGCCGCAATCTAATTGTTTGACAGAGGTATGTGTGTCGGGTCGAAAATAGGTATTAATTAAGCTTCGTAACAACTAACTAAGGTACTAACCGATGTTTTGCATTTTTATGAATTATCTTAGAGAATAAATACTACTCTCACTCACTAAAATCACTATACCAAGAAAATGAACATGATTTTTGGAATACCTATACAAAGAAAAGACGGTTTACGAATAGCAAAAAAGATGTATTTTTTAGACTGCACGGATGGCCTAGTAGTTTAAGAGGCCACCATGCCGCTTCCTACTACGCTGAGTGTGTGTGTGTGTGTGTAGTGTAGGGATTAATAGTTGATTATTTTAAGTGTTCGTTATAAATATATTGCATGAAATGATCGTGACTATAAAATAAACAATCAGGTCAGGTATAGTGTGAAAAGATAATCATACATTACATAAAAAACATTACGATTATTTTGTGAATTTCATTATCATCCGCGATTAATATATCATTTAAATGTTATTAAAGGTCAGGATACAAGACGACGTTATGAATAGGTAGTCCAGATAATCTATGTAGGTATTGTTTGAACCTATCTATAGTGTTGTATATCTATATTGTTTAGATTATCGTAGCTTATGACTGATTATATCATTACCAACTGACCCGCGCAACTACGTCTGCGTCTCTTAAAAGGAATATTTTTTCCCGTTTTGCTACATTTTGCATTGATGCTCGGCTCCTATTGGTCATAGCATTATATTATATAGCCTTCCTCGATAAATGGGCTATCAAACACTAAAAGATTTTTTTAAAACGAACCAGTAGTTCTTGAGATTAGCGCGTTCATCCAAACAAACTCTTCAGTTTTACCATATTAGTAAAGATTCAGCTAAATTTCGAAATTTTCCAATTCAGGAATACAATGTCTGTCAATATAAGATTATACGTAGTTTTAAAGGTGCCATAAAGGTAACATTTAATATTAATAAAAAATAATTTACCACAAGCTAAAAAAGGACGTGCGTGCGTGAGTGTGTTATATAAATTGTAATACCAATTACATTTTCACCAGGATTGACACGTTTCCATTAGCCTTAATCGGTAATTGATTATCTACATCGGTACGTTTTATCCCATTAATATTATAAATACGATCGTTTTGAAGGATGGATATATCGATGTTTATAAATTACTAATCTCGCGAGAACGTCAGAATGGATCTGCATGAAATTGACACAGAGATAGAATCGTCTGGAATGGCACATAAGCTACTTTATATGAAGAAAGAATTGATTGATTAATTCGACATTAACGCGAGCGTGGCCACGGGTAAAAGCTAGGTCTAAATACATGAGTCGCCGAGTCTATTGTACTTATACCTACTAAGTATAATTTTACGACAAATGGCTGTAGGATGTGGTTTACATTTATTGATATAGGGACAAACCTCAACCCTACCACAAACGGGGCCAGAACTAAAATGGCGTTATAATCAGCGACCTCAAACACATAAACTTTAAAAATTAGACTTATAATAAAACCTACGTTCATCAACATCAAACATTTTAGTTTCGTCCCTGTTTGTGGTGGGAAGGACCTCTTCAACAAACGGAGCCAAAACTAAAACGTTTGGTGATAATTGACTACCTCAAACATTCAAACTTAAAAAATTAGACTCATAAAACAATCTACGTTTGCATAATTTATTATACGAGCACACAAGTAAAGATTTTTGTGATAAACCGCAACAGTTAGGTCCGTGATTCCTAATAGCAGGTTTAACTGTACCTACACATTAAATAACATCTACTAATGCTAAAATTAGAGACTTGCAATGAACATAATCACATAAGACTCTGTTACGGTCACATTGAGACGGTCGCTTTTGTACACAAGCATGAAAAAACAAGGGAACCACAAAAACGTGTATAACTATATGTAAGTAAATAAATTATTAAGGTTAATAAATTAAAATATCTAAAGAACAGCAAAAGGTACTCTTGAGTGTCGGAAATTGAATAACTGCCAGCTCAAGTAACGGTAAATGTGAAAGAAATACAACGATAAATGTAAATGCTATTTCAAGTGATAACTGTGTCAAAGCACTACTTACCACTCAATTCCATATTCATAAAACAGCCTTATTAAACTATAAAAAATATAAGCACATTAAATTTTCTCGTAATATTTTAGTCGGTTCTAGGTGACACTACTTCTGTACGCAAGAATAACAAACAAACTGAATGTCATCAGTCATATATGACATAGGATTAGTAGGGAAAAGAAAAGGCATCGATTCTTCCGAGGTATCGATACTTTGATTTCGATACCAAATCTTTTTAAATTGCCACTTAGTTTATTTTTTGTGTTAAGATGTTATGTTAATTAATGTTATGATCAATCAAATTTTTAAAGTGATAACGTCTAAAGGTTTTAAGTGTTTTTGAAGGAAAAACGCGTTACAACGCCAGTCTGTCTGGCTTCCCTTTCTCTCACGCATACGGCAGCGGTAGGCATTCTCCTCCACTCACACTCTAACCCACAGCGCTAGCCGTATTTCGGACAGATGCTTTATTTAAAATGTAAGTAATGACCTAAGCTTTTCTCAAGTTTAACAATTTCAATATTAAATAGATCAACTTAGATTAGTTTAAGTTATCACATCACTATCAATACTTTACATTTTCATAACAAATGAGGTTCAAGGAAATAAGAATAAATTGATTCAATTGAAAACAATCAACTATTGACAGTTATGACAATCTTGAACCACGGGTTTAAAATGATAATTATGCTTATCTGCTCGTGCTTTCAAACAAATATCAATAATACTCTCACTACAATCGAGTGATCTATACGACGAAAATAAACATAATTTTTAGAATACTTACGCAGAAAAGACAGTTTACGAATAGCAAACATATATATCGAGGAGTTCTCGGATATAAACTGTCTTTTTTTGGCAAAACTCCTTTAGCAATCGTAGCAACTATAAGTTTAAGATAAGAAACGTAAACATAGGCGTATGGAACAATAGGAAAACTAAATGTTTATATAATATAATACAACAATATATCTCACACACAGCCGTCTGATCCCAAACTAGGCAGAGCCTGTGCTATGGTAACTACACTGCTGATAAACATTACTTATATATTTTTAAATACATACATATTATAGATAAATTACACTCAGACACAGAATAAATAACCGTGCTCATCACACAATAATTGACCTAGGTGGGAGTCAAACCCACGACCTCCGGCTTAGCAGTCAGGGTCACTAACCACTATACCAACAGGCCCGTCAGTGTATTCAGTATATGTCATTATATGTCAGTATACATTCTTAATGTTATTATGAATTTGTGAATGTGGCTGGGTACTTCATAAGTTAGTACTTCCATTTTTTGTATTATACATCTCATTGTCAAATCACACAGTTAAACTTACGGTAGCACTACACGTACACTATCGATGTTATTGCTACGATAATTGTATTCCTAAGGTAAAGGAATTCTATGATTTAAACTAGTGATGTGTTAATATTAATAGTCTCTGGTCACTAAACTATTCGAAACTTGAGTTTGAAATTGATCACAATTCTACAGGTCAAGTTTTAAAAGATGTACCCTTTTGGATCATTTTGGGGAATCTTTGCATAAAGTCAACGACACAGAATAGAGACCATTGGGAGAGGTCTTTGCCAACAAACGGCACTCAGACGGGTGACAAATAAGCAGTGCTTATTCTAATCCCTATCAAGGACTATCTATAATATTATACTATCTATTATAATTCCCATAGGACAGATATATCGCAACAAGAAGCTGATTGAATAAACTAGTTTAGAAATAATTATATATTAATATAATAACGTCAAAATAATATTAAAGAGCAAATATTATCTTGTATAAATCATTGGACCGTTAGAGTGCTTTTTAAATAAATTTTAGGAACTACAGCCCCGGCCTTGGCACGGTACTATTATAATACAGTACTCCAACTTCATACAAACGGACGAAACGCGAGCTAAACCTACGCGCCTCGATCTCGGGGTGCGCTCGGGGCGCAGACAGTCAAGGCTGTAACGCAGTGTCGAACGGACGGTGTGTTGTTTTTTTAACAATTACCGCGCGATTTTTTCTCTAAAAATCAGTTAATATGACGAGTAGGAAATATTGTGCTGTTTTTGGTTGTATGAATTCGTCAACAACGCATCCAGACATAAGTTTTTTTAAATTACCTGGAAACTCTGAAAGGTAAGACTATAAAATAATTTTACTTACTAGTAGGTAGGTACATAATGTGTGTCTTTTTAATGGATAAGTATTTCCTTTTATCTCACGAAAAAAAGGTGTTTGGATTAATAAATAAAGCGAATAGAGTAACGGGAAATTATTGAGACGAGTGAAATAGGTAGTGTATCAAAATGTATAGGGAGTGAATCAAAAAACAACACGCATTTTTATTGAACACTTACTATTCAATATACAAAGTATTTCATTTATTTATATAAAAAGGATATTTACAATCACAAATCTAAATAGAAACAGAAAGTAGGCAAATATAATTAAAATGCTGGAGACGGGCAGCCCTAACGCATGTTTACGTACCGCGCGGCTGTAGGCATTTATTTCTATCATGCCGCCGAGTTACAGTACTGTATTATAATTGTACCGTGGCCTTGGTAATTGGTATAAAAAATTGGTAAAATTAACAGCGATAACAATATAACTCAGAACGCGACTGTACTCTGGAAGCAAGCGGCGTGTCGTATCAGTGCGGGGGACGTAATGCGACTGGAGAGCCAATCGGCGCTACGCACGCCCGCCCTTCGTCCCTCTTACCCCAAAAAGTACCTGATTTTTGACTTCTGCGCAGTAACTGTCACCGCTAGAGTTTCGTGCCGCTACTTATATCACTACTTGCGTCTTGCGTCAAATACAGCTGTCAAAATGAAATGACGGCGGGTTAAATAGGTATTATTTTAAATAATAAACAACTATAAGATGAATATTTATGCAATCGTAAATTAAATTATTACAAAATGAAATGCCACATACCGGGATCTAACGTTAAAGGTAAGTATATCTTACTACCAATGTTTAATTAAACTTTCTTGTTTACCCACTGAAATGTTTGTTTACTGTACCTATATAATATTTCAAAATTTTCAGTTTTAGGAAGAACTGTTCACGCTCTAGCAAGATTTGGAGATGAACTTTACCTAGAATCTCTTCCAGACTGTATACTTTTAAGAACTTTAAATGCGGCCGAGTCCGCATATGCTATGGTAAAATTCAATAAAAGTTTCTTTTCTTACTTCAATTATAACTATTTTTCTACTGAGGATAACGAAGGTTTGAAATGCAAAATATCCATGAAGTCGGCACTTAATACTTTTAAGTCTCCTATGCATATGGACAAACAAGTAGAAAACTTAGAAATCAAACTTGATCCTGAAGCCTGTAAGTTAATATTCCAATTAAAATGCCGACACGGTATTGTCAAGACACATTTTATATCTATATTGGACTGTAAAGCAATGCAAGCTGTTTACACTAAGGACACTGTGCCAAACAGGTAATTAATACAAACTATTAAGTTATATTAACAACAGAGATAAAAAGATTCTATAAACTTTGAAAGTTGACACACTAGATAACAAAACATATTCCAGGGGTAAATGTTTTGCTCATAATATTTTTGATAAAAACTTACATATTTAGAAATGATAATAGGTTTTACTTCCATGTCTATTTCTAAAATCCTTAATGGAGGGCCCGACACAGACAAGGTAGCCCACAACCACTATAAATTATTGCTCTTATTCTTTAACCTTCAACATAATCATTAAAAAGAAATGAATAAGGAATGTTCGAAGTCTGACCACAAAAATATAAGTATCTAATCATCAGTAAAAATAAGGTGAAGATTATTGTTAGTGATTGGTGATTATTGTTATTTCCATAATTGGTAATTAATTGTTAAATTATTTGATCCCAATGCTATCGCAACATTTAGATAACATAAAATTGATTCATAACACAACAAATATCAAACCAATAATAAAAATTCCACATTCCACCCCTAAAAATTAAAGGATAATTTAAATGGAATTTGAATATTATTTTTCCTTTAATTTGATTTTGATTTAGTTTAATAAATTTAATTTAATGTTGATGACTTTTCAATGATATATTTTTACATAGGTCTTAACTTATGTATGTGTAAGAAAGGACTGTGCTAACCCATTCCTGTATGTAACCCAAGTATCACAAATGAACAATTTGATTAGATTTCCAAGGGTATTAGTCTGGTAGTTTCTAGGCAACAAACTTGTGACTTTTAATTTTCATAAGTTTGTTGCCTAAAAACTACCAGAGCTCATGGACCCTGGTAGTTTTTCACCATCAGATAACTGCTGCTAGTTTGCCCCCATATATATCATGCAAAAAAAAATTCAATGCAATATTTCAGAATAACATCACCACAGAGAATCTTAGCTGAGGCTCTTAATAATTTTCAAAGCTCAGATGACCAAGTAACACTAGAAGCAAGTCCTAACTCCCTCATCCTACGCAACTACATTGACTGTAGCATGGATCTTACCAAGATTATAAGGACACAGATCACCCTAAAGCCAGCAGAATTTGATAGCTACACTATTGGAACAGAAACTATAATTACCTTCTCTCTAAAAGAATTCAGAGCCTTATTAGCTTTTGCAGAAGCCCTAAACTTACCTCTGCAAGTACATTTTGAGACGACTGGAAGACCTGCAGTTTTCATTGTTCATAACGGAACTACTTTCGAAGCACATTTTGTATTGGCAACAACCAAGCCAGATAGTGCAACGCAAGCAACATCAACCCAGAATACAACTATGGAAAGAAATAAAAGAAAAGATGCTTCCAGTACTGGAGGTTCTGCTAAAAAGAAACCTCATTTAGATGTAGATATTTCTAAGTGTTTAGATGAAGATTCACATTTGTTTAATTTTATAGATATGCCTGAAGATATTGTTATGAATGATGAATTAATTAGTAGTGTTAATAAATCTATTGTTAACGGTAAGGATAGGGGTAAAGTAGATTTGATGGATTGTGATAATATACCAGGGTCGCCTACATCAAAAACAACCATTAAATCTGTGTTTAAAAGGTGCTTTGAAAGTACATTTGATCCAAGAAGTTTAGTGGGTTCAGTGTTAGCAGAGAATTCAGATAGTGACTGAGACATGACATGTTCCCAAAGATTTGAATCAATAGAAGCGCCGTTCGTTAAAGTATGGCCACATTCCTGTTTTGTCGTTTCATTTCTTTCAGTTACCATTCGACGTGCAGAGAGACAAAGAAGTAATCTAGTCTTAATATTTTTGCTTCCTACCACAGCAACTTGTGTTTTATTGAGCCCAATTTTTACAAAATATTAAAAATAATGTTTACGTTATACGATACGATTCAAACAATATTCTTGTCCTCACATGTTCTCACATAAAACTAGAGTTTTATGTGAGAACATTGCAGTTACGTTATACACATTCGTATTTACACATTATGAAGAAAATAGTCTCCTGTGGTGTGGTGGAGGCGAATTGAATGAGATGTGTAAAAAGAAATATTGAGTGCCACGCAAGGATTTCGGGTTCAACACCCGCTCAGTGCAAATATTTTTATGCATCATATTGTCATTACCCTGGGTGTTTTTAAGTAATGTGTAAAATACTCTCATGGATAAAAAAGAGCTCTTTTCTTTGAACAGCTGATAAGTTTTAGCTCTGCTAGAATACTCAATCGGCTTACTATAAACGAAATAATCGGTCTATCCGTTTAGGAGCTATGATGACAAAGACATACACATGTTAAACGCACGTAAAGAACCTTACTGTGTAAACCGGATGTCTAAATAGGTAAAAGGAACCTGCACCCTGCCCAACGCGGAGAAGCTCTTGGAAAGCAACCGCTGCTGAAGTAGTTACATATTTTATTATTGAATAGGGCTGACACAGTGCCCTAACAGGAAGGAGCATATAAATAGAAGGACAAGAATATTGTTTGAATCGTATCGTATAACGTAAACATTATTTTTAATATGTTTTGAATTTGAAAAGCGCTGCATTAGTGGGGTTTTCTGAGAGGAAAAATAACCTAAGTTACTCCTTATATAGACAGCTAACTTTTTTTTTTCTTGTAACTGTAAACTAACTTTTAAACTTTCGCGTTCCATGATAATTAATATTATTTAACGGGAATTAACGCGATCTCTTATTTAGGGTATTACATACCTCTGGTTTGCCTGACGTTTCGACCAGGTTGCACCGGCCGTGGTCACAGGCTGACTGACAGTCAGCCTGTGACCACGGCCGGTCAGTCAGCCTGTGACCACGGCCGGTGATCGCGTTATCGAGATCGCGTTAATTCCCGTTAAATAATATTAATTAACTGTAAACTGTTTTTATTTGGCAAAACTCCTTTAGCAACCGTAGCAACTATAAATTGAAGATAAGAAACGTAAACATAGGCGTATGGAACAATAGGAAAACTAAATGTTTATATAATATAATACAACAATATATCTCACACACAGCCGTCTGATCCCAAACTAGGCAGAGCCTGTGCTATGGTAACTACACTGCTGATAAACATTACTTATATATTTTTAAATACATCCATATTATAGATAAATTACACACAGACACAATAAATAACCGTAGTGGTGGTAGTAAAATATCAAAATCGGTCCAGCCGTTTAGAAGATTACCCGAACAAACTGACAGATAGACAAAAAAAACTGGTTTTTAGGCATAGGTATCGTGCAGATAAAGCTCACACGCAGAGCACGAAAAAGCCTATTATTTTGACATTACAAACAGACGTTTAAATTTTATTAGTTTGTATAGATGATGTACGTCAGACTTACATAATGTACTTAGAGCCATTTTCACTATACGTACACTAGGTAACAAAATAATAAACATCGATTGTTGCTCTGCTGTGGAGCATACTCCCTAGGAGACCCACTTACACGTATTCACGTAGTTATGAGCATTTTAACAGAAAACGCTTTGCTTTTTAGTGTTAGCAATTATTTTGAAATTATCTGCCAAAATATATTTATTGTATCTAACAAGATATATTTATTGTTATGTAACCTTCGCTGTTTGATCGAAACTTTGAATTTTTACTTTACGACAATTTAATTTCGTGTGTCCCTGTGAACGAAATAAATTTTTGACATCTACCTATACCATAGTACTTAGACCAACTTTTATGAACTCACCCAGCTCATTATTGCGTAAGTACTGTAAGACAATGTATATATGCAATTACCCACAAAAATTCTGTTTCAAAATATATAACCATCCGCCTGAAGACTATTATTATTATACTATTATGTTCGATTTTGCCGTTACCTCTATGCCCACCTAACACGAACAGAAGACTATTAAAAAAGAGAAGCTTATAAAGGATTCAAAAGGTATTTTCATTGGAAATAAATTAAATAACATTATCACTGCATTATGATTTTATAGCAAAAAATATACATACACAGGGAAAATATTATACACACGTCACAAATCAATGTTCGATGATATTAGAGTTAATGCGAGGGGTTTTAATTTATCATCATTATAGCTATTATAATTTCCACATCCAAAATGGTAACAAAGCTGTCTCCTAATTACACAAACACATAATTGACAGTATTGAAATATAATGTACAATTATAAACAACAAAATAAACAAATCATGTCCAAAGATAAATATAGATCATCCCATTGTATCTATTGAGCAATAACCAATGATGGTAGTATTCATAACATCATGTTTGCAACTTATACACAATGTATATTATAAAGCAACCATCCTGTTAACCTGTGCCATTTTCATATGTGCATTTAGGGCAGGGTGGAATCGATACAATGATAAGTTTACAAAAACTTATATTTATTCAGTAAAAATTATAATTAAGTATTAAATTTACTACTAAAATTAAACTAGAATAAAATTGTAGTCTGAGAAGTAACATTATAAAAAAAAAGTACCAATATGTATCGCATTAATCAGTAACTAAGAATTTACATGCAAAACATAAGTGTGCACCCCACTTACCCTTTTAACAATTTTACTAGCTTCTTAGTGTTATACATTAGCAAGTTGCGACACGTAATAAATAATGATTGTTTACAATTACTTCAGATTTGGTTTCTACTATACAGAGATCAAACTTGTATCATATTAAGAAGTAAATAGAACAAAATGCAGATTTATTTTTCTATAAAAAATTACCATACATATTTCATTATAATAACAATAGCATGTCTTAAAAAAGATGAAAAAGACCTTGGATTCTATTTTAATTTATTATTTATAAAATACGGCAGCGATACCATTTAATTACAATAAGTATTTATTTTAAATCAATTTCAATATTGTCTCTGGGAGCCCGGGTGGGGAGGGCCCGCACTATGAGTCACGCCGGAGCCTGCTCTCAACAACGTCCTAACTGCATCACCAAACACTCACTATCCAACTAAATTAATAAAAAGGGCACTGTAATTAGGAACAATCCTCTTGGCTCTTTCTCACACACTGTGCTACTTTCCTTTTAAACTCCGAATATGATTCTCTCCATTCCTTCTGTAAAAAGAAACAGAATGAGCACTCATCTACTATTGTCGAGCGCATACGCGCAGATCTTGTTCGTGAGACGAGTCGGTGCATGCAGCGACCTAGCGTGAAATAACGGTTCAATGCGGTTTGCTTTTTTGGTACAGTTGTGTCAGGTGGCCCTTTTCCAATGATAATATTTTGTGATCTAAATTCCCTCTCACTCCTAAAAGCAATCTTCTTGACTTTTCCTAACACATCTGGCAACTTTCTTTTTGAAATCCGAATATCGCTCTCTCCATTCTTTCTGTGGATGCAAACAATATAAAAATGAGAATGATCATAATTACATATGGAAATAAAATAAAATGTAAACTACAACGACAACTTATGTAAACTATAAGACAATCTGTATATAGCAACAATCTAAACATGTACAAAACTACATATCTTCATAAAAATACATATATAAACAAGAATACTATACATTAGATATGTTATGGAGCTTAGTAAACAACTATTGGATTTCAGAGATAAAAATATATCCGTAACCGATTTAAGTTTCGAATAATATCCGATAGGACAGAATGATGTTAATGAGACAAGTTATAATAAATTTTTGTTTTTAACAGAACCGACATAGCCGCGCGCGTTCTCCGTATTTACATTTCTTGGTCGTCATTCGTTGATCGTAGGAGGAAGTTTCCACCGATTAGGACCGCAATTAAATCTGACTGCGGTCCCAGGTCCATTTAAAATTTGATATTTATCATAAATGAATATAAGAAAACTATTATTAAAGCCAAAAACAGTACAGACAAACGAAAAATGTTCGAAGTAAAACCAAATTAAAGAAACAAGTCTTTATTTATGGGTGGTTCCAGTCGGCGGAAGAAAAATATTAAAATTAAATGGATCCTGCAACTGCGATCGCGGTCCGAGCTAATGGCGGTCCCAGTCGCTGGAACTCTCGTAGGAGCACTTAGACACTGTTGTGTATATAAAAAAAATGTTATTAAGGCAAAATGCAACCTGAGGCTAGGCTTGACCTTCTTTTACAATTTCTTAAATTTTTAAAACCAGTAACCGAAACTAGCAGATAATCCAAAATTACTTTATTTTCGTAACAGCATCTGCAACCAGTATGATATTATCCCTATATCCTTATCCAGATCCAAAATGTTTTATCCATAACATCTCTGCTATACATAACTATTGTCATATAATATTTATACACACACACTACATAACATCTTTCAAATACAGAAATGGAATATCAACAAGGTATAAAAAATCAAGAACAGATATCCACAAAAATATTGATAATCTCACTCTTTGATTCCGCTTACATTTATTTTAAGAAAATAATACTAGATTTTTGAATCCTGAACAAGAAATGTAATAAAACTAAGACAAATAATTTACTAATTCATATTTGTGACAGAGGTACCTACAAACTCTTTCATTATAATAATAAAATATAATAGATAATCAAATAGATTATATAATAGAACAATTCAATAAACAGATATATATATATGTGATCCTTGATGTCATGAATAAAATTTCACCTTAAAACTAAAAATGTTTATAATTAATCTTGAAAAATGATAATTTTCAAATATTGTTTATAAAACTAATCTGTACCTAGAATTCTACTATGCTGCATAGTTTGAAGAAAATAGTGTAAATTTTGTAATAGTAAGTAATGTATGTAGATGAAACGGATATCAGACTACTTTCTGGTTTAAATTAATTATTGAGCTGGATACCAGATAGGAAGCTAGTTACAGACTAGACACCAGGATGTTGAATTTAGGTAATGGTTAAGGCGCATATTAAATAGACAACGCCAATATTTATTTTTAATAATAAGTCGTTGTTAAGGGGTAATCCATATTGTATCTAGACATTGCTTTCCACATCGTAGGCTAGCACTAGGTAATCTGTGGGATGTGTGTGCGTGTGTGTCTGTAAAATACTGACCAAAATATTAATCATTATTATGTTGATTACTTGATGTTGTGTGTTTACAATGATTGAAATAAACGGGGATGTAAAAACAAAAATACTGCTGCTAGGGTGAGGATTGGCTCAAGAGGCATCATGAGACCCTCTCATACCGGCTGACGCAGGTGATCACCGGAAAAAGATGCTTCGGAATCACCTGTGTTTGATCCGCAAGGAGCCAACGCCCGAGTGCCACCACTGCGATGGCCGGCAGAAGGCCCGGCGTATGTGGAGTAAACGGCGTGACCTCGTGGAGGCCATCGGGGTGGGAGTTCTCTCGCTCGGTAACATGATTGCGGCCATGGGGCGGAGCGAGAGTGAGTGGAACTCAGCCGTTTCCTTCTGCGAGCAAGTTATGCTTGCGAAGGAGATGGCGGAGCGGGACCGGGAGAGGTACCACAGGCGACTTAGGCACCTCCATAAGAGCAGGTCTGGGGGTGACAGGTGAGGCCATCTGTCACCCTAGCAGAAGCAGACCGGGGTGGCACTTTCGGGAGCATAAAGGGAACATGTGGGTTCCCACCTAGGAGGAGGTCATATACCCGTTATAGATGGCCCGAGATACGTCGGTGTACAAGGGATTTCCTTTCTAGGGTACACTAGTTCCCCGGCTACTGCAGTCAATTAAATGAGGGGTGTTCTAATCTTGTTCTATATGCATAAAATTACTGAGAGATTGACAGATTGATTAATCAACACCGAGCTTAAACCACGGGGGCTATAAACTTCAAATTTTGGCAGATGATGCTTTTTATGCTTTAAGCACCAATTTCCAAAAATCCCTTCTTAGTGGGAGACTTCTTATCATTTTCAAAATTAATAATAAGAAAGCCTCAGCCCAGTGGACTACGAGTAAGACTTGTTTAATAATAATGGGAAAACACTTGTGAGGTTGCCAGACTAAATTTTATATAAACTTGCATGATTTTCTTATTCCCGAGATGTTTATTTTTTTTTGTCATTTAAGCAATTACAGCATGTATCTAGTTTTGCCTCTGACTCAGTGACATATCTGACTCTGTTTTTTCATCTTTTTCATCATACTTTATACAGCCCATATTAAAGATTAAGGGCTTGACTATAGCATTCATCACAAGATATTTTTATAATTTAAAAAAAAGTCTCAATTTCAAAACTTGAGGCAACTTAAAGTTTAATTTCTTATATCCATCCATCCGTTTCACCTTAAGCAATATTGGTAAAGTAAAAACAAAAACTCATAACTATTACTTACTGCAGCGTCAACATTAGCAGGACTCTCGTCGTTTGGATCTGCCAGCATGGAAATAACACTTATAAGAATGGTCTCAACTGTGTGAACTGGTAACCACCTTTCTGATGCTTTTTCATAACCCCATTTGTCATCTCCAGGTTCATGAAGTATAGATATGCACACATCTCCGTTCTTTTCAACTGTAATTGTACAAATTATATAAATGTGGATTTTAAGTATTGTCCTTAACATGGGTTAATACTATAATAATTAATCACAACTATATTTTGGATGAAATAGATTTGTAATGAGCCGATTATTGATTGGTTGTAGTGTGTTCAAGCCTGATGGATTAATTATGCATGCATTCCATCCTTTCTACATGGCAATAGCTCTAAATTCATCCCAAGGTGTAAACAAGCATTTCAATCTATACATCAGAATTTTCAAGAATAGAAATTCACAAGCTATGTTTATCTTATTATTTATGTAGTTACAGCTGAAAATAAAAAAACTAAACAAGTAAACAAAAACGGAACTATTCTACTTGTTGTTTATAAATGATATTTTAAAACAACAGGTAATATAATGCTTGTCAATACATATGTATATAATTATGTATGTTTTTTAAGTTTAGTAAACAGTTTGAATAACTACTCCTGTGAAGTATAAATCGATAACGACGATCGATAACTAATTTATCGATAACTCATTTATATTTTCGTAATTATTAAAAACATCTAAGGAACATACAGATGTTGCCAATAGCAGTTTGTTAAACCAATTAAAATTGTAATTAGTTTCTTTTATTATAGAATAAATATAACTAAGAAGTTGGTTGTATCACTTGGTCAAGTACAAATAAATTGGTATTGTTTAATCTGCCACAGCTGTAAGCTTTATTGTATAGCATATATTATTATGCAATACCAATTATTGCACATTACAAAAACTGTGGAAGAACATAAGACTAAAATACTTGAAAAATGATTGAAAATATAATGTTAAGTTTTTTTAGATATTTTATTTTAACTGAAATGGAACTTATTCAATTACTTTTTTAATAACTGCTGTAGCTTGCCTTTAGATGTTGTTCCCTTTTCAAACACTGACCCAAATCATTTCTTGCTTGCCTTTAGATGTTGTTCCCTTTTTAAACACTGACCCAAATCATTTCTTGGGATGTTGAATGTTGGAGTTATAATTACTATTATGATTGGAATATGGATTTTCATTATGGTTCTACTTTTATTCTAGTTCATTAATCTGGTTTTAACTAATAGTTTTCCTAGCCCTCAGAAAGATTTCTTTTTTTAGATCACAAGTTACCTGTTCTTTCTGCATGAAAAATATAAAATATAATGGCAAATATATTGAAATATATTGTAGTTGTTAAGACATGAAAGCATATCAAACAAGAGTTACTTATGATATGTCACCTTTAGGCAAAATAATAATAGATTAAATGCATAATTAATCTATAGCATAATTGCTATGTTCCTAGTAAATAAATAAATTGTAAGACATAAATATGTCAACTAAACATATAACATTTGTGATTGGGCCACTAGGATACCATGATAAAAGATTTATTTGTTCACAATTTTATAGTTACAGAAATAGTAACATGTATGTAGTATGAGTATATAGTTTTAAAGACAACCTCAAATACTAATGAATTTTCTATATTTACTATTTTTATTATTGAAAGTGACATTTACTTACTGTTCGGATGCCATATTTCGGTAACAAATTTCATTCGAGGAGGTCTCAGAGGATATTCCTTAGGAAAGTGTAAGTGTGCTTTGAAAAATCCACCCTCACTGAAAAGTTAACACAACCTATTTAATAGCTGTAAAATCCTTTGACTTTATTATTTGTTTAAAATGTAATAAATCTTACAAAAGATAAAAAAATAAAGATTTACTTACTCATGAAGAAATTGTCAGTATTAAAGTAAATTGATTTGTTAAGTTGATTAGTTATCTGTTAGAGGATCATTAATTGGTGTGTACTTACTATAACGTGTCTGGAGGACCAATGATGAGGACTTCCCACCTATATATGTCATTGTCATCTATTAACCCAGCAGAAAACCCTTCCACTGGATTTTTGTTCAATTCTGTAAACAATAAATGACGTGCCTGGAAATCTTGATATACGAAGTAGTTTTGGAGAAAATTCAGAAACAGTAATTACAGTAAACAACGCAATCTGCGAACTGTAAGACGTAAATATAATTGTAAATAGAAAATTTACATCTTTGACTTAGGCACGAACACCTGTCATCGCAGCAGATATTGATTTTGTAATATAGAGCTTAATTGCATTGCAGCAAGAAAAATTACCACATGTTTAACATAAAGAAACTTTTAAACTTACAGTGTCGCATCATTCCAACCACAAAGAGACTCAAAATTCGACCCGCTGAGGTCAATGATTGCTTGAAACAAGTCGGACAGTCGTATCGCTCAGTCGTAGGCACCAATTTTAAGGAAATATGAAGATTGGACTTACCAGCTAGCTGCTTTTTTAATAAAAGCGAAGACTGTGGCTCTGACATTAATTACAATTGTGAAATTTACCCTGACGACACGAAACAAATGATTTTTCCACAAAAGATGGCTGGCTGAGTTTTGAGCAGGTTGTGAAACATATGAGTTATTGCTTGTTTCCGGTGAAAATGTTGCCACTAATACAAAATTTCGCTCAAAAAATGTAATTTGACATTCATCCGGTAGAAAATTTTGTGGTAGTGTAGGTCAAACTAAACTGCCAAAAATGGCTTATTAAAATATACAAACAATTCCTACGCATGTACGGTATATTTAGGTTTCATACTTCAAATTTATATTTTATTTATTTATTTAAACCTTATAAAAGAACTAGCTGACCCGGCAAACATTGTTTTGCCATAATAATATACATTACTTCAAGAAAAATTGTCAAAAAATAAAATTAGGGGTATGAAAAATAGATGTTGGCCGATTCTCAGACCTACCCGATATGCACACAAAATTTCACGAAAATCGGTACAGCCGTTTCGGAGGAGTTCGTAAACCGCACAGGTAGAAAAACTCACCTGCAGACAGTCCAAACTGGTACTGACTGAAGTCTCACCACGACTTACTTGCAGACAGTCTTAGCAGACTAGATATCCGAATATGTAGGAACCATAACAGGACACCTAACCCTGAACCAGCAACTATTTACCATTAATGCAACGGGCAGTCCTCTTTGCAGGGGATGCCTGAAAGCAGAAGAAATGTCCGCAAACGTAATCCTGGAATGCGAGGGAGATGCGACATAATGGGCAAGTACCATACTTGGTACAAAATCGCTTCTAGAAGCCTGTGAACGTCCCAGGACACTTCTGCGCCTCTGGGAGGAGCTTGGTTGGATCATCTAGCCAACCTTTCCTAGACGTATAAAGGACCAATCACGAGGACGCCGAAGCAACTCTCGGCTAGTTTTAGCAGTCTTCGGGTCACTGATTCAAAACTGCGATTCTTACACCGCCGCGCGCGCAGCTAACTGCTTGAAGACACTATGCAGGTGCATAATTTTGTAAATAGGACTGTTCGCTTGCAACGTTACCACTGTTCTAAATTAAGCTAGAAGCATTCTTAAGCCGACTTGAGTATGCCTGAGAACTCCTGGGCATTCCCAAGCATAATCTGCATTTGAAAGATTTTACAATAGAATTATTTTATGAAATCTATAAGGTTCGTAACTTGGCAACATTTACCGGAAATACCTATCGCCATCTTTTGCCTAAAATTATGAACAGCGATGAATTCATGATTTCACGCTAAGAGTATTTTTATTTTTATCTCTGTGTGGAATGTCGCTAAAGGGTATCGCAGTTTTAATAATAATAGATTCGGTTTATTCTCTCTTTGAAACTAATAGTATGTGAATGCGAATGAATATATAATGTGAATGAATATACTAATAGTGTGCGTGTATAAAAAATAAATAAGAAACCATTAAAAAAAAAGTTTATTTCGTGAATTTATTGGCAATTCATAATATTTAATTTAATTTATCTTTAAGCAATTTCACTGGTCTTTTTTATCTTTACCCGTGGTACCTGCTGCTGGTGTTCTGCTTTACCATTTACTTGCTCTATTTTTCTTTTCCTGTTGTTCTTCTTTGCTTTTTTATTCTGTTTTTCAGTAACTTGTTTATTGTTAGTGCTTACTAAGCATTTACACGACCCAACAATCTCAAGCATAGCCTTAAAATCTAAATTAGTCTGTATTTTACAACTTTCATGAAATAATTTAATTATATTGATTAACTTTTTTAATGTTGTGAGGAAATTATTTTTTACGGTGAATTCTGTGTTACTTTTGCTAATCTGTATTAAAGCATTTTCAAACTTGGCTTCTAAAGACAACAAATCATTGAATACTTTTTCAGAATTAGGTTTATTGCGCCTCAGTGCCCGGAAAAAACCTGCCATCAACTCTAGTCCCTCATTGCGTCGGAATTGCCTCACACCATTGTTAAAGACATTTTCAATTATTACTGGCACTAATTCATAGCTGCCATTCCACTCTGTTTGGAGAATGTTGTGGAAGAAAATGATTGGCAGCATACAGTTTCGATTTTGGAAGTAGCTTTGGAGTGATTCTTTTAAAATTGATAGAAGAGGACCATTCACATCAGGTGCAGATTTTGTTTTTTTCGGTGATTTCGGGTATTTAATTTTTAAGGAACAATGAATAATAAATGTAGCAAAAAAGGTAATCACATCTCCAAGAGCTTGAAACAAAAAGTGGGATCTTGCACCTTTATCAATGGTTGCTTTCATATAGTCACATAAAATTTCAATACTAACATCATCAACTGAGGAAAATTTCCTTACTTTAGCCAGGTTTTTAATAGTTTTTCTTACTCTGTTCTCTAATTCAGTAAACTGATCTTGAATGCAAAATTCTAAGCATCTAGTGAGGGGTGCAATCATTCCAAGACAGATATCCATTGAAGGGTCTTTTTCTAAATAAATATCAATAAGATCAAGTACTCTGACTCGGAAATCAGACAATGTTTTTTTATCCTTGCGATCTTTTTTTGTCTTCCTGCCCTTACCCTGGCGGAACTGTTTGAAAGCCTCAGCTAATGCTTCATCAAGTTTCTTGCCTTCTTTTTCATCAATTGTATCAGCATCAATACTTTCAGTTTCTGATTCTGGGGCAGCTGATCCTAAGGCTTTCTGTATAGCTAACCTTAATTGATCAGGTGTTTTTAAATCTTCTTCATCATCATCTTCCATTTGACTATCACTATCATCTTCTTCCTCTTCTTCTTTATCACTGTCTGTGCTATTATTGCCATTTTCTTTTTCTTCAATATCACTATCATCTTCGTTTTCAGATCCTGAGTCATCATGTGTTAGTGGATTAGACTCATTTTCAGGATCTAACACTGATATTATTTGACCAATTGATGAAGGAGTTAAATATTCCCATAACAGTCTAAAGACACACTGCACAACAGATCGAAGAACACTTGATTCTGCTGATAATATGGACAGAAGTACTTCAACCAAAACTTCAATCCATTCTGGTTCACTTGTGAGGTCTCCTTCTGTTACTAGTTTTGGTTTCTTTTTTTTCCCCTTTCTGTAATGCTCATAACAGCTTTTGAGTTCCTTAATTGAACTTTTTGCAATTTTTACATGCACAGGTTCAGAAAATAAGAAAAGTCCAAGTTGATACAATAAAATAAGAAAAACATTGTCAACCTTGGACTTTATGTCATTCTTTTCTATATTTTGACACACTTCCATTAGCATTTCCCAACAATCTACATTTTCTTGTGGAAACTGTTTCTCTATTTTTGCTCGAATCTGTTCCTTTTGGAGAATACTGCATATAAAGCTGCATAATGATGAAAGTACTGTGACTAAATTGTCAACATTTGAAAATCGAGAAGTGAAGCAGCGATAGAAACATGATTTTATTGAACCTGAAAGTATAACAAACATATAAATGAGTATGAATAGTTGCTATGTACATAGAATAAAATATATTAAGCAATATGCTCATACTTACTAGACAGCTCAATGCTAATTGGGACAGTTTCATCACCACCAACTTTGAAGAATCCAAAACACATTAACAACTTCATGTATGTTAATTTAAATTCTGTATCATCTTTGACAGACTCATGGCTCACCAAGTAAGACAATAACTCTGCAGCTTTGACTCTCTCATTATTGTACCAATTCCTTTCAACATCTTCTTTTATGGATTTTTTAGAAGTGTTTAAGAGAACCCCTTTAAATAACTTGGCCATTTTTTTAACGCCATCCTTATTTAGATCAGCAATAATGGATTTTACAATAGTTGTACCAGTTATTTCTGTGAAATTTATTTCACCAGGTGTAAAAAGCAATTTCTTAAGTACTTCAACTCTTACAGTATTATCAACTTTTTCTGATTTTAATGCTTTACATAAGGCATTAAGAAGTTCTTTTTGTTTTTTAATCATCAATTTGTTGTCATCTTCATTGTCTCGTTTGCTTCTGATTTTGCTAGCAGTTTGAAGTCCTTTAAACCAATCCATGAACAATTTGAAGAAATTTCTGCTTATTAACTCTGGTATAACTTCATAATTTTCATGTATATTGGTAAGTATGGTGGTAAGTATATTGACTGCAACCAGTTCCCTATTTCTATTGTGTTTTACCAGTTGGCTATCAATACCTGAGGTCCAAAACAGCTGTAGGTGAGATGAATTTGCAATTTTTATTGCGATTTCTTTGTATATGGGATGTCCAACTGAATTGAAGTCTATTCCAGTCTGTAAGACAATTAAAAGATTTAAAACATCAAAGTATACCTATGAACAATTCTATCAATAATTTGGTACTGTGTAACATACCATTATTTTCTCGCACACTGTGTGGATATTATCTTCACACAGAATTTCAGGAGAGCCTATTAATTTCCTCAGTTTTACTTTATCTGGGAATTTTGTGCTGATAACAAACAAAAAATATAAAGAGTCCAGAGAATGTTCTTTAATATCTCTTTTAAATTCTGGCTTAATTAATGGCCAGATGACCTGCCCAAATTGATCAGCATCCACCTAAAATTAAAAATTGGTTTTAATAGAGTGACAAAAACCATTTGCAAATAGCATAATAATTTATTAAAAAAAACTTTTACACCAAAAACATTTGACTTGGAAACCTTTTTAAACAGGCCTTAAGACAGGTTCTCAAAATATATGTATTTCGATAATTCTTTGAATTGAAAGTTTTCACATCCAGAGGGGCTCAACATTCTTTAGTGAAGTTCTAATCACAATTTGTTAGTGTAGTAGGTAATAAAAATAAAATGCATGTTAGATGCACTTAGTCTGTTGAAGTTGTTTAAAAATATAATGATGAAACATCAAGCATTACTTACCCCATTCACAAAATCTAGCAGTATGAGGTATGCTACAGTGTTCAAATAAGACTTTTTCTTGCTACTAGCTAATAGCAATTGTATAACTTCACTCTGTTCTTCAGTTGTACATTTTAAAATACGGCCAGAGCGAAATAGTGCACTGCAGACCAAGATCTGGCCAAGAGCAACATCACCAACCTCCTAGAAAACAAAATATTTAACATGAACGGACTGTATGAATACATTATTAATACTGTCTAGCTTTAGGGAAATACAGGTTTCTTTCTAAAGTAAATGTCTTTCCCTTAACAAAGCTAGTAACTGATACAAAAAATTAGGTTGCATTTCAGAACATTTAACAGAATAGTTTTTGCCCTTGGCTCCGCCTGCATAAATGTTGGTTATGTCTGTAAATAGTAGCCAATGTCCTTCACTGAGAATCAAAAACTCCCCATGTCAAATTTTATTAAAATCAGTTTAGCGGTTTAGCCATGAAATCACAACAGACAGACAGGGTTACTTTTACATTTATAATAATGTTATGGATTATAATAGGTATACAGCACAAAAATAACATGAACACACCATGAACTATGGTATGGAAAAATGGATAAAAAGAAGAAACTATGAAGCTTGGAAATGAACTCCACCAATGTATCTAGCTGTGAACTTAACAGAGAAAGTTTAAAACTGTGTTAGAATACCCAAATACTGAAAAAACCTGCAACTAATAACGGCATTTGAATGAGGGTCAAAATTAAAACAGTTGGGATATGGTTTACTATATTCATAGGACATGAGCCGAATTAGGATAATTGAACTTGTAACTATTCATACCTACATAAGAGATATAGAAGATAAGAGTTAGACATGAGTGGTAATGTACAGCACATCAATTGTAATCAGTATTAATAAGTGGAGACAAAAAATGAAATAATGGTTTCCCACTCTCAGTTTTATTTTTTGATTGTTTTTTGTACGTAAAAGTACAGACTACTTTTACGTACAAAAAAAACAATCCATTTAAAATTGCAATCAGTCAATTTATGATACATAATCATAAATGTATAACTCCGCCACCTGTAATCCCAATACTGTCTCAAATATCTGTTCATAAGATGAAGCAGCAGAAAGAGTTAACAGGGATATTTTTTTCAGAACCTGGCTACGGTAACTTTGACCTATATCATAGGAAATGTTACAAACAAGGCTTTCCCTTTAATAAGAATAAAAATATGTTATCAACAGCTTAAAATAAAAATATATGGGTCAGGCGATTAACCAAGTAGGTATATAAATAGTTGCATTTATATTATATCCTAACCTCCGACATCAGGCTTAAATCATCATCGACAGGCTTAAAGTAAAGCTATCAGCATCTGGTCATATACACTTCTGCAATCAGGCTTCTCCTTCTCATGTAGAAAATGTAATATGTTTAAACTTTATACTTACACTTTTGGAAGATCCATTGCTATGAAGTTCTTTTTTGGCGAGTTCTAGTAGTTGTGCTACAGACACCTGTTCAAATTTTGATAATAATGTTACCAAGGTAGCAAAGTAACCAGTTCTCATATCTGGTATATTAGCGCCCAAACTCCTGACAAGCCTTTTGAGAACATACTTTAGGTCCTTTTCATTCTACAACATGAAAAAACAATGTTGTCTTACGATTAAGATTCAAGACTATTTTAATAATTAACATTAAAAACGTACTGGAAGAAACCTCACTTTGATTTATAATAACTTATATTTTAAAAATACTACAGAACAACTAATTTCTAACCTCATTGACTACTAACTGCGAAATTATTTTACTGCCGCCGATAAGTTTCGTCTCATCTTTTGCATCTTTAAGTAAATCGAATGCTTCTAAAACAGACGAAGTCACTTTGATTTCCTTCTGAGGCTCAGAAACAGTCTCTTCTTTCATTTTGCTGACATAAACTCTCGCTAATAACAACAATTTATTCCCACATGGATCAGAACGCACGTTTCATCTAATGTCAGCTTTCAGTTATTTAAGGTCCCACGATCACTGATCAGTGTTGTCAACAGTTAAATTAACTCTCCAACATATTCAACGTTTGAAAACCACCAGAAGACCACTAACAAAAACGTCCCCACTTCATTACCCAACTTTTTTTATTTATTATGAAAGAAAAAAATAAGAGTTTCCTTTATTATCAACACCCAACACACAAATAGTAAATCAAAAAGCAATGATCAGGGATATAAAAATTATTCAACAACAATAGTTACTAATTTTAAATAGTAAAAATAGTAGTATTAGTACTATTTTGAAATTAATTTGTCTTTAACAGATCATTTGTTTATGTTTATGTCTGCACTATCATTGTCGCTTTCAGATTGATATGATTCTTTGGTACCGATTTGTTTTAGAATTTTTATTGGACTTTCCAATTAATTGCAACATTTTCCTTCCAACCACAAAAATCAGCATTTTCTGAACATGGCACATAAAACATTAAATTTATTTTGCCACTTCTCGATTTTTTTATTACCTTAATTCTGCTAAAAAACTCTCTTAATGGCATTGAAATAAGGCAGTATTAAGAGAGTAATAGCAAAAGTTGCTAATTTCACAAACCTCGAGTTCCTTTGGACATTTATGAAGTACAATACTTCCAATATGTGGAGGTTCCTCAACACGTTGGACATTGGTAGACAACAAAGACCGAGTTTTGAACGATTATTGGTTTGAATGAATATAAATCTCAATTCCTCTTCTACTATTCAACTGGGTCATCAAACCAAGTGATGGATCCAGAACTATATTGCTAGTCTGCCCAGATCCATTTCTGTCAACTTTGAATTTTCTCCGATGCCTTCTGGGGACATCAAAAAGTTCATTGTGTCAATCCGTTCTAATGAAATGGGCTGTAACGACTTGCCGTAGGATGCCGTAGGATGATAGTTACCATCCTGGGTTACGTCCTTGAAGTCAAGGCCACATAATTGATTTCTTTCTAGAATCTGGAAGCTCCCCCTCCCCCATTGTTTTCTGTGATAATGTAAGGAGTTGCACACCTCCGTAGCCACTATCTATGCCTGTCTACAAGCTATATATATGTGTCATAAATGTCATAAAGTAAAAACAACTGACTATTGAATTGTATATGTCATAGGTGTTTAATATATCCATACCAAATGTGTTTCGATATCATCGTTTATTGGGTTTTACTTGCACTGAACATTTGCCGATATCCTACAAATAACAATCCTTCCCGAGCACTACCGTGCAATCTCCATCTTTAAATTGCTATCAGAGGTTCTTGAGGTTTGCGTATGCAAACAGTTCTCACAGTTCGCTTTTCAACATCATATCTTAAGTCCGCCAAAGTCTTGCTATTACTAATAAACCACTAGAAAATCTACTTTACACTGAAAGCAATATTTCGCCACGAAAACGAGGGTCGAAACCACCAGTTTTAGTGGAAAATCCACTAGGTTGGCAGCACTGACCACGATGTGACCAAAAACCGTGTTGCCAACAGTTAAATTAACTCTCCACCAGATTCAACATCTAAAATCACTAGAACGACACTAACATAGAACTGCTAGACCTACTCTAATAGGCACTAAACTTTCCACTAAATATGTTTTAGGTTACAACGAAAGAAAACCAAAAGTATATAAATAACTAGTTTCCTTTTTACAAACTGTAATACTGATACCAATCGTTTTTGTCAATACCATCATCGTCGATTTTAAATTAATACGATTTCTTGGTACCGATTTCTTTTACAATGTTTATTATAATTATAATACATATTGCAGCATTTTCCTTCCAAACCTCGAAGCACAGAGTATCCTTAACATAGCAAATAAAATATTTAATTTCATGCTAATCCTCTGTTTATATAGTCTCCCAACGTCAGCATTGAAATAAGGCAAAATGAAGATACGTTGGGTATTGGTACACAGAAACGGACTGAGTTTCATTAGTTTGAATGATATCAATCTTTATTTAATTTTCTCTTGTGCTACTCAACCGGATCATTAAACCTATTGCCTAAAATTAATATAGTTTTTCTCTTCCTAAGCACTTCTATCTGATCCCCATTATTCCTTTCCTATCAATGATTTTTGAGGTTTGTGTACACAAACAGTTTTCACAGGTCATCTTTAAACATCATTTCCTAAGTCCTTTACAATCTTCTCACCACGAAAGAAATTCACTTTCCAGGAAACACAATCTGAGGCACAATTCAGGAAAATTTGGCACTAAACTGGGGGTTCTAAACCACCAATTTTAGTGGAAAATCTATCAGGTTGGCAACACTGAACACAAAGTGCTGAGGCTTTCCTTGGGTAACCCAATACATCGATAGTGTTTGATTTTTCGATAAACTAGATGGCGATATAATTACGTATTAACTTAACTCTATTTAGTACTAAAAAAAGCATGCATACCTCCACCATAGTTTATTATATTAAGAACTTATCTTTGTTTGTGTATAATATTTTCAAGAGGCTTCTTTTGTTTACCTCCAACAAGAATACAATAAGTTTCTAATTCAGGGATGTCTATATAATATAGTAGTAAAAATGTAATACGAAATTCTTCCTTCTACGACCTGCCCTCTTTTATCATTCTGTCATTCACCTTTAGAATGAATACTTATTGATTTCTAAGTTCTGCTACAGGACTTTCACGGGGTGGTGTAACATGAGTAGATAGCGGTGTCTCATGAAAAAAGTAACATAAAATTGTGTAACACTTCTCAGTTTAATCTTTTTTCTCAAAATATTATGGATTATAAGCAAACAATTGGGACAGTCATTTTCACTGAATCTCACAGTTCCTTGCAACAAGTGGCTCGCTGCACTACTCTGTCTTAAACCTATTTCCAAATTAAAAATCCGAATTATAATAATTGTAGGCACTTAGTAGAAATCGATGCTGGTCAGAAGGTAAACTCTCCAAAAACAGGACGGATTTAAGGGTAAGTGACCCCTGGCCACTTTAAGCTGCTCTAGTCTCGGTCCCGTTTCTTTTTCCGAGACATGCGGTGTCCCTCACCCTAGCCACCTACACATATCCGCCTTTCTTTATCCTAATTTAGCTTTTTTCACGTACCAAAAAAGATTACATGCTCAAGAAGGATTGGCAGCAATCAGGAGCCAGCTATAAAAGAAAAAACCCAAAAACATTTTGCAATAAAATGAATGATAACAAAGAGTGCGATAGGGCTAAAAGAAGTGAAGAAAGTTTCATGTATAGAATAGTTGACCAAAGAAAAAATGAATGGACTGCGTGAAAGAGGATAATGGTGGAAAGGGTAGTCAGTAAATTGCCAAGTGACAGAGGAAAATGTAAGAAAAAAAATAATGGCACCGACCCAAATATATTTGGGAAAAGGTAAGAAGATGATGATGAGAAATCGATACTATACGTGGTGAAGGGTATACTTTGATCTACGTTAAAGAGAATGTGGTATAAAACCATTGTACCCACTAAATAAATCTTGAATAGGTAACTGTGTGAACTGTCTAAATACAAAATTAATTTAACCACATACTATCACTTAGTGGAATTGGACATATTATAATATTATGTTAGTTGTTAACTTTATGCAAATTTTATGTATTACAGGAAAAGTAACAAAAACATATACACAAATATTTATGTAGTTATTATGTAACTAGTACAGACCTAGTTTAAGTATTTATTTAGGATTTACCGATGATTAACTATTCGTAAATTACGTTATTGAGCGGCATTGTTAAATCTGAATATCGGAAATCGGAATCCGGCATCGACATATCTTGGTTTTCAAGCAATTACACTCTAGTTTAATGTGTTTGAAATAGTACGGCAAGTTGTTCTTACACTCTATAACAATAATATCGATTATTGATTAATTGATTTTAGAATATTTTTAAGTCCTATAGAACGTCATTTCTAGTGTGTGGAGATTTGCTGAATAGGTACTTATATATACTCATAATCATACTTGTGTATTACGTACTCCATACTCCAGTAATTATTTAATAATAACTTTTATGTTATGACTTTCTAATGCAAATTTCTATTTTATAATAAGAATAATTCCATACTCGTGAATTATTACCATAATTTTAACATTAACAAGCAGTTGAAGTAGAAAGCATATCTCTTAGTAACGCTTAAGATGTGCAAACTTAAAAATTGGCACTGGTTAGTTTATTTTTTTTCAATTCTAAAATAATTTAAGTTAAAATTATGTTTGACAAAAAAATTGCATGCTTGTGAAGCGTCTAATTCAATATTTATCTCTTTAGTCAGATCTAAAATTACAAAGAATTGTACTATTATTCCAGCGAATTTTCACAACCATTTTTACTCTTAGGTGTTGAACGACGAAAAAAATGATATCCGTCGCTTCCAGAAATTGATGCGCGCGCCTTTAGTATTCCATGTTTCTAAACATGGCAGGTCGAAGTGGATACGATGATGTTAATCCCAGGTATTTATTGTAAATTAATGCAAAAATTGATTTTTATTTCATAGTACAGTGCGCGTTAACAATTTTAGATCATGATTATATTATATGTGGTGATATGCAACGATTTGGATCTAAAAAAATATCATGTTTTGCTATCCGATAACATTGAATGAAAATAGCATTTATACACAAGCTTATAAAGTTATATCTGTTTATTCCATGTTATCTAACCCTGGGACGTATCCGTGACCATTTCGTTTGGACTTGACGGGTGATTTTTGTAGTTTATAGGTTATGAATTACCTACGGTTGTGGTGCTCATTTCAGGGATTACGGTGGCGGCAGAAGAACTGTTGGTGGCCGCCCCCTTCCCTCCGAGCCTCCGTATAAGGCATACGTTGGAAACTTGCCCTCGGGCATTATTCAAGGCGATATCAATAGGATTTTTCCTGTAAGTACTAGTCTACCCTCCCAAAACCTAGCCTAGCTGTTTTGAGAGATCTATTTACATATATTATTAATAGCTGTGTTGATAGTTACCTATGTATGTATCCAACTATGATTGGGGAAGTAACCACTAATTGTTGTTATTGACTCTATTGAGATATAACCCGAAGATGTGTTCTTTCAATGTTAAAATGAAATGTGCTCAAATATGTGTTAAGAGATAGGCAGTCCCCGATTATGGCCAAATTGTGTACAATGATTATGATAATCATTTAAATTACTAATGTAATAAGTAGTTAATGGATACTTTAATATAAAAACCTTTAATTTGAAGATAATATTAATTACTTCCCTGTAAAGATTTAACACATGGCTGCGAACCAGTTGATGCATTTGAAGGTAACCAAATTAGCACCTAATCTGCTTGACAGTATGCAAACACAATCTCAGTCTATAATTAACATTAACAGTAGACCCTATACACTGCTATATCAGTTTGCTTAAGATATAATCTTTGCTGTGCTATTGTAAACAAATCTCTCATGTTAACAGTATCATATTAGTCTCTTGGAAGTCAAGGGAAATATGATCCTATGTTACCAAATTGTCCTTTGATAAAATGATGTTTTATTTTGTTAAAGAATCACTATGCCACAACACTCATGAGGTGAACTAAAACTCACTATTGCTTTAAACCCAACACCACAATCAAGATAGAGATGTTTGCCAGTTGAAGTGTAGCAATCGTCACTTCTGATGTTGCAGGAGTGTCAAATATCATTTGTTATAAGTTGATTTGTAAAATAAAGAAACATTTTCTGATTACAGGATCTATCGATTAAAAATGTGAGATTGGTAATGGATAGAGAGACAGACAAGTTTAAAGGCTTCTGCTATGTAGAGTTTGAATATCTTGAAGATTTGATGAAAGCTATTGAAATGAATGGGGTCCTTAATGTGGATGGTAATATAATTAAAATTGATGTAGCTGAAGAGAAGAGAAATGACAGGTGAGTCTTTAACTCATCAATATATGGAATGTAATGACTTGTAAATGTTTTTCGTTTTCGAAAGTTTTTAAAGTTTAAGATATATAACTGTTACTTTTATAATTCTGGTAGTAAGTATTGAAATAGGTTACTTCTTTATTTCATATCAAAATTAATCATAAGAGCATAATAAGTTTACAAGTGGTTGTTTTGCGGTTGTGCATATATCTTTATATTATATTTAACAAGAAAGCTCTTGTAAAAAGTATGTTAGCTATTTGAATTTTGTATAAAAACCTAAATAGACCTGCCTAATTTTTGCACTTCGGTTTACTTGTACCAAAAATATCTCGAGTATTTATTTATAAGTGGACTATAGTGTGTATATATTACATGCTTTATTCACAAACATTGTTAAAATGAGTGCGTGAAAATTTATTCTGAACAGTTTTAGAGCATGATAATGAGAATTAATCTTAAATTAAAATGAAAGTAGATAAATTAGTCTCATTTTTGTTGATTGATCTTTCAAATATAGGTATTCTAAAAGGCACATATGTCGCATCCATTTTAATGGGATTTATTAGTATTTTAATTGCATTATAAGTAAATAAAGACTACAGGTTGCAGAATAGGATTCATTCAGATTCAGGACACATTCTCGTTTGAAGTAATAAATTGAATTTAACTTGCAGTCACTACAAATTGTGACCAGTATCACCCAAAATAGGTACTCATTTACAAAAATATATTTTTATATGAATTGAATAAGACATCTTAAGTTGACATCTGGCTTGCTATTGTGAGGTGATAGGATATGTAAGGTGTAAGGGGTCCTACCAAGATCTTTTGAGGCCCAAGCAAATTCAAACTCACATGCTGAACAACTGATGAGGTTCTGGCGCAAGCTTTTCCCATCAGAAGCGGGAGGTCACAGGACAGTCGCTATAAAAGCCCTGCCAAAAGCTAAATTGAAATAAAAAAAGAAGATAATATGCCACTAATGGGCGCCGCCAAAAAACGGCGAACAGGAGCCTCGTTCGGCACCAATATTACGGCCATTATTATATTATTATACATATTATTATACGGCCTATTATCTATACTAATATTATAAAGCTGAAGAGTTTGTTTGTTTGTTTGTTTGTTTGAACGCGCTAATCTCAGGAACTACTGGTCCGATTTGAAAAATTCTTTCAGTGTTAGATAGCCCATTTATCGAGGAAGGCTATAGGCTATATATCATCACGCTAAGACCAATAGGAGCGGAGTACCAATGAAGAATGTTTTAAAAACGGAGAAAATTTATTACTATTGAGAGACGCAGACGAAGTTGCGCGGGTCAGCTAGTTATTAATACGGGCTAGGGCTGCTGTGTCCAGGATGGGCAAGACGTTAGCTCCAACCTGCATGTGCTTCGCAATATAGAACATTAGTATGATTGACTGGGCTTAGGAGAGAGTTGTACTCTCAAGGCGGATGCTGGCCGTGGTGTTCATAACAGGAGTCTCAGTGGAAAGGCATCCAGACTTATTGGTCATGGTTAAAAGCTGATCTACATGGGTTCACCTGGTGGGGAGAACAAGGTGACTGTGGTACTATCCGAGGAACTACTCTATGATGTTCTAGAAGTGAAACACTATTGCGATAGACTTATGGCGGTGAGGGTGATGTCTACTCGCCACAGGTCAGTTTTACCAAAGAGTGTGTTGTAGGGTCACCTTGGGGAGGTACTTCTAGACATTCCGTTGTCGCAGGGAATTGTTTTGGGTGGCTAGCTGAACACTTATGTGGATACGGGTTTCGTAATACCAAAGGTGGTAAAATCCTCAGAACGTGTGCGGCGTCCGATCTCGCCATCGTGGACGTGTACTTCCAAAAGAAATTCAAACATCTCATCACCTACAGGCGCGGGGTAGCAATACCCAAATAGATTTCTATCTTGTAGTGTAGTAGATACCACAGCAGCAAAGTCCAACTTTACAACATCGTCACCTTGTCATGAATATCTGTGTGGAGCCCAAAGACAAACGTGTTGAGCATTGGCAGTGCCGAATCAGATGGTGGCTGCTTGATAAAGACAGGTCTCAGGGGTTTGCGTCAACTATCGGCGACAAGTGCAAGCGATAATGAAGACGAATCGGATCAGGATTACTGGCACTGTCTGTTTGTTTCCCTAATAAAATAAAATAAATAAAACAAGATTCAGGCGGTCATCCCTAGAGCGGCGAAGGCGGTCTTTGGCATGTCTAAGGGTGGACGCAAGTGTAACAAGAAAACTTGGTGGTGGAAAAACACAGTCTAGAGGGAGACTCCGAAAGTCCTCTTTAAAGGGTGACAAACGTCCGGATCTCTCCAAGACCGCGAACATGGCTGCAAAGCACACCGCTAAGAGAGCTGTAGCCAGAGCTAGACGTGACTGGAAACGTCTTGACGGACGCTGATCCTGATTAGTCTTCGCCGCTTCATGAATCGGAAAGCTGACTGAGCCGATGGAGGTATGAAAGGCGATAGGTCCTCGCGGCGTGGGCATTTTATAAAACATTTTCAAACGCGTACTATTCCTCCGTCAAATCCAAATGGAGGCTGAGTATTATTTCTCGAGTCTTCAAAGGTAAGGGGTCGCTGCAGCAGTGCGGTAATTAACGTGGTATAAAGGTGATATTCCACACCTTGGCTCCAGTCTTGACTTGACTGATATGCATGCCAATTGTCTCACAAAACATGATCCCTGGTATAGTGCGAAATTGAGGATTAATAGTCGTAAAGCGTACGCAACCGGAATAAACGCTCGTATGCTGATGATGATCTAATTACTAGATGTAGTACATTTCCACATAGAGATGTAGTACATAAAGTAGATATCTCTAGTAGACATTTTATTATTTAATATTGTACGAGGGATATACTTTAAAGCATTTGTCTGTTAACTTACTGAACAAGAAGACAAAAAAAACTTTACGCTAGTTGCGGGTAATACCCTTACACAATCTAATCGATCGTTATCGATATATCTTTCATTTTAAAAAGTCCCTGCCTACTGGAACTAATCAAGTTATTAACTAAAAAGAAAATAAGCCTTATACTAACAAAATTACTAATTTAAATAAACATGGATCACAATTTCTACTATTGTTATAAAAATAATATTATTTTTCGTATATTAAAACTAAATTTTCAATAGAAAATGGTGATGTTGATCTATGGAGTAAAGTAAGACATATTCTCACTCTACTCCATAGAACGGAATCAGTATTTACATCGTCTTTTTTTATATATGTATGAATGTTAAGAAATATAAAAATCTTTGACTAGCCTGTTGGTCTATAGCAGAGATTCCCAAAGTGGTCGAAATCGGTTGCCCGGGGTCGACATAAACGAAAACTGATTTTGGGGGTCGAGAAGGTCTAAAAATCGGCCCCTATTAATTAACATAACTTCTTATTTGAAACTTTCATGACTGTGTTAGTTGTGTTACGTATACCAACTTGATATAAGAATGAGACTGAATAATATTGTAGCGGGAAGTATCATTGTGGTTCTTTAAAAAAACTCAACACCTAAGCAATTTGGCTATGGTGGTCCGAGGTATCAGTTCATTTTTGAAAATGGGTCTCTTGCCCAAAATGATTTGGGAATCCCCGGGTTTGAGGGTAGTAATCTTGGCTGAGAAGCCAGGGGTCCTGGTTTCCTACCAGTAGTCGTAGGGGACTTTCGTACAGTCAGAACCGTAGTAGACATGTCATTATACTGCAATTTACAGAGGTGGCTTTGATCGCGGTCGGCGAGACGGTCGTGTTGGTGGCGGCGGTGGCGGCGGCGGCTTCAGACGGGAAGGCGGCGGCGGTGGTGGTGGCGGCGGCGGTGGTGGAGGCGGACGTGGTACGTACGACCACTTCGATGGGCTCGATCGTCGTGCGCCGCGCCATCCGGGTGGAGGGATGCCACATGGTAACATCATCCTCATTACTAACAATATATCAACACAAATGACGGAATATTCTAGGGGCTACTGATGAAACAGAGGAACAAGTAAAATTATGCCTTTAGTTATTGGGTTTCATTGGAAATCTTGTCATTTGTGCCGTGGTTGGTTTTATATTTATTGTTTTTACGTTTTTTTTAAATGTTTATTATATGTTCAACAAACAAAAGTATTTTTTTGTTCTAAATTGTTTTGTGCGCTTGAGCAGATTGCTCGTTTTGCGAATATTGAATATCAATAAATTTCACCTTATACTTACACCAATTTAAATGTTTAACAGAAATACTTTTGTCTGTAACATAGTCAATAATAAGAAATAGACCTTTATTCATTAAGATCGGAAATGTTTGGGGCATTGCTACTTTGACTTGGTTTATGACATTTTAACTAACAAGATTGTTATGTTTAGTTTATATTTGTGCTTATTTAGTGCAGAAAACATGATAGGTTACACACTAACATTACGCTTACTAACGCATTGCTCTGTCGCGTCATTGTTTTCACGCGATATTTCCTGCTTTCACTGGGTGCGATTGGGAAAACTAAAGTTAACTAACTATTTTAAAGCACGCCTTTTCTAATCCTTTCTAATGGACGTCATCGTTTAACTGGTGTTATATAATCTAAGATTTTAATACTTACTGGCATTTAACAAGGAGACCCGTCGAAATATCAACAACACTACTGCAAAAAAGTAAAGCGCGTAGTATTTTGGCGGTAATAATAAGATATAGAGATTAATGCATACACCTGGGTGCACAGGTAGGCACGCAGGTCTGTGTCAGAACATAACAGTGGTTATTAAACTTTGCAGACCGTGAACGAGGTGCCGGAGGCGAGCGGTGGGGAGGCGAGGGCGGCGGGCGGGGCGAGAGCGGCGGGCGCTCGTCGCGCGGCGCGTCCGAGGAGCCGCGCGGGTCCGCGGGCGGCGCGCAGGAGTGGGGCCGCATGGGCCGCTCCTCCGCCGCGCCGCAGCCACGCCCGCCGCCGCGCCAGCGCAACTTTGAAGATATGCCAACTTCGCGCCCAGGTACGCCCACCCCTTCTCGTTCACATACATTAAAAACTGACACCGATAAGACTGGCCTCAAACCCGTTGCAGGCCCTTTTGCTAACCGTGTCGACATAAAGCAGAAGATAATGGAACGAATATTTTTAACTTTCTAATGCAGCATCCGAAACACCACTTTAAAATTTATTAATTTACTTCGATTCGACTTATATATTTTATTTTAATTCGAAGTTCGTCGGACGTACAGACTCACGAGTGATCTTATTAGGATTTTGTTTTCAGTAGGAAGTACGGACTCTAGATGAGAGCCTTATATAAAATTAATCCAAACTTAGTAACTATGTATACTTAATAAATAAAATACTTCATTAATAAAGTCTCCGTTGTAAATTTGTATTAAGACTACAGATCCAAAAGCAATTAGATTAAATAGTGTGAGCGTCGCCTTGAAAGTACAGTGTGTTCGCAGACACGTCGGGGCGGCCCAAACTGAAGCTGGAGCCTCGGACGGTGAAGGAGCCGGTGAACTCGCTGGCGTCGACGAGCCAAGCGCACTCGATATTCGGCGGCGCGCGGCCGCGGGAAGAACGGCTCAAGGAGCTGTCCAACGAGTAGACACTCACCCTTCCCCCTCCCCTCCCCCCGGTCCCGTGTGTATATGTATCGTCCCGAAGCCCGCTGCCGATCCCCTATGTGTGCCCTGATATTTCCAAGCAGTTTCTCACTGAATGCAGTGCTGATAAAATTGTATATGAACTACAAACGTTTTGTTAGGTTATATGAGGTTGTAAATCATTTTTATCGTATATTTTGTTAGCTTTATTATGTGTATCGAAAGATAGCTTCTTATTGTTTTAGCGCGGCTGCGGCTCGTTTTCGAGGCGCAGCCGCGCCTCGCATCGCTCGGTCGATCCAGTATTTAAATTTGTAGTATGTATTTGTTTGTCTCTTTATAAGAAATGCCCGGGCTTGTATGTACATACGATATCGGCTCGCATAATAATAATTAATTTTTCGAAATTAGACTATGAAGAAAAATATTTTTGTTCCTTAATTTTCGGTTGTATGTGTATTGAATATTGTAATAATTATTTTATTTTTAATATAGCATTGTCGCGATGGAGGTTCGTAATCGATTCTCTATTGTATTTGTTTTTTTTTTTCACTGATTAATTATTTAGTTTGTTAGGTCATGAAAATTAATCATTGAACGAGTAATTATGATCATAATTTAAGAGTTGAGTAATATGGTGATGTAATTACGGTGTCATTAATAAAATTAACTTCCACTTACTTGGATTTCTACTTTATTACATATTATGTAATGGCAAGTAATGTGGCAAAGAAATGAAAAAAAATCGCAAAATTGTAACAGAACAGAAAAATAAATAAAAAGTGAATTCTTTGTAACCAAGGGTTTGTCTGAAATACCTACATAAAACATCCTTGTGTCCATGATTGTATTAAATAATTACTCAGGCTTAACTTTTCTATGGAAATAGAATGCATATACTTGGACAAATAGTTTTCTCTATCGCATTAGGTTTCGGTGGAAGAAGCTATGCATAGAAATAAACCTAACTGAACTAAAATTTTAAAATGTTATGTCACTGATAGATGACTATGTAATGTCACTAAACTATAGGTATCTTATGTATGTTACAGGCAAATGTAACAAATATACTATTGATTCACTCTATTACAGTGTTTGTTAAACTGAGTGTTTAGAGGTAAAAAGATCTTCCAAATCTCATATAGCTTTCTTATTTTAACTATTACGAATAGATGTCAATTCGATCATTTTGTATAATAAATGTTTTCTAAAACAAATACTTTGGTTCGATCTAAATAACACCTTAACAAAATGTGTAAGCAAGATACTTATTTTCAAGGTTAACAGGAGTTATTTCGAAGGTTCATTGGCCCTCCCTGTAAATAGTTATTTTTACAGGACAAACACTACTCTGCGCGTCGGTGTTGACATGTTATATCAGTTGAAATGTCAGATGATTTCGATTTCAGCCGGAGGTACTATTAAAACTCGATTGCACCCGACGATGTCATGTCAAGGTGTCGATATATGAAGTGGCGAAGGGCTCAGCTTTCCATTGACGTCCGTCGAATTGGGGATTGATATTTTTTATACAGAAAGGTTACATTCACACATATTTTTCATTATTTCCTTATTCACATATTTTTTTAGGTTTTCAAGCACACATATTTAACAGCTTAAGTATTTTAAATTACAGCATTATTTTCATTACCAGCTATAAAAATGTGTAGTGTTTACTGTCTGTTGCTGGCTTGTGAAACGAAACGTAAAACTCGCCATTTATAAATTAATAATTTGTTTTATTTTAACAGTAGCTATTAGGACAGATAACAAATAAAATAGGTCGTAGGTAAAACCAACCAACCAACTCGACGGACGTCAAGGGAAAGTCGTACCGGAATTAATCCCTATGGGATCATCATGTTCATCAAATTTGAAAATTCCAGAATGAAAATTAGTTTTTTAGTAAAATTTTATATGAAAATGCACACTGCCCCTTGAAAAATATAAAAAAAGCTGCTGGTAAACATATTATAATTATGTTTATGGTAGCTCACGATAGGTTCACACTAGTGATGTGCCGGATCGTTAACAAAGTACATCCGCGGATACGGATCCGAATACGGATATTTTGTGTCAAGATCCGCTGATACGGATACGGATCTTAAGTTTCTTACTCAATGGGAGCCCGTGACCTTGATTGTTGTCGCCACTTGACGCTTTGCCGTTGATATTTAAATATTTCATTATTTTAATTAGTGATGTGCCGGATATCCGTATCCGTATCCTCGAATATCCAAGGGAGAAGAGAGATCCGTATCCGTGACTTTTTTGGCGGATCGTTCAATACATATTACATAGATGAAATTCTATATAGGTGATTTTGTATTCACTTTAAAACTCTTAGGTATGTGTTTGTAACACTATAAACAACAACTTTTTTTCTGGCCAACGTCAAAAGGAAAAAAATGGCCCTCCATTCAAATGACCAATCAAATGTTGTTAGTTTGTATGGAGAAACAATTTTTTTTCTTTCGTTTTCGGTGTTAGTCCAGAAGAAAAGTTGTTGTTTATTATGTTACTAATATGCACTTCAGAGGTTTTCAGTAAATTTAAATTTAACCCTGAATAATGGTTATTAGGTAGCTATGAAAAACTATTGAATTCTGTTCAGATTACTTTTTATTTCTTAAAACAAATATTTGGCACCTTTGTATTGCAATCATTTATCGCACACTAAATCAACTAAGCAGGTCGTAGGTACTGAAAGAGCTATCTTTATAATGAGATCAATCAAACATCTTTGTATTAGCCCATTGCGCCGGTTAGCTGGGTTCCCCTTTTTAGACGAGTAAAAGAAAATGTAATCATACGCAATATAGTATATCGTCGGTCGTATTCATTACCGGAATATTTCCGAAATTACGTGTTTTGAGAGTAGTATGTGGATTGGTAAGCAATCTTAAAATCTTTCTAAATCACCAACGGTATATCTCAAATTTTAGTTCTAATTGTCAGGAAAGCATTAATTCCGATATTGAAAAGCAAGTTTGATTAATCTTCTCGTATTCTATAGTTTGTTTTCCAACGCAGTACTCTTAAAAATGTGTAGATGCCCGTACCAACTTCACAACGTCACAACCCTTTCTCACTAGTACGAGGGCGGGTCAATAAGTCCGTGACTTTTTGAATTTCTGACCTCTTTACTGAAAAAGCAACACTACTCCTGTCAACAGGCACCTGTCAGTTGACTCCTGTCAAAATTTGAACTTGCTGCGTCAGTTAGTTTGTGTTTGACAGCTATCTTCATCAGACTACCCAGTAATATGAGGAAAAAATGGAAAAAAGTGAATTTCGTGTGCTTATTAAGCATTATTTTTTGCGAAAAAAAACCATTACCGAGACCAAGGCTAAGCTTGATAAATACTATGGGGACTCTGCACCATCGATTTCAATGGTAAAAAAGTGGTTTACTGAATTTCGTTGTGGCCGTACAAGCACTGAAGATGCCGAACGTCCTGGACGCCCAGTTGAGGTCTCTTCACCCGAAACAATCGAAAAAATTCACGATATGGTGTTGGCCGACCGAAGATTGAAAGTGCAAGAGATTGTGGAAGCCGTAGGGATCTCGCATGGCTCAGTGGTTTCAATTTTGAATGATCACTTGGGCATGAGAAAGCTTTCCGCAAGATGGGTGCCGCGATTGCTCACAGTCGACCACAAACGCAATCGTGTAACAACTTCACAGGAAGGTTTGACGTTGTTTAATCGCAATATGGAGGAGTTTTTGCGCCGTTTTGTAACGAAACATGGATCCATCACAACACACCAGAGACCAAACAACAGTCAAAACAGTGGGTTTCTAAGGGTGAATCGGCGCCAAAGAAGGCCAAGGTTTGTTTGTCAGCCAATAAAGTTATGGCGACTGTCTTTTGGGATGCACGCAAGATAATCCACATTGACTACCTTCAAAAGGGAAGAACAATCAATGGGGAATATTATGCCAACTTATTGGACCGATTCAATGACGATTTGAAAAAAACCGACCTCATTTGGCCAAGAAAAGTTCTTTTCCACCAAGATAATGCAAGGGTGCACAGATGTGCAGTTGCCATGGCAAAAATCCATGAATTGGGCTATGAATTGCTCCCTCATCCGCCCTATTCTCCAGATTTGGCTCCAAGTGACTACTTCTTGTTCCCAAACCTGAAGAAATGGCTTGGTGGAAAAGATTTGACTCCAATGATGAAGTCATCTCGCAAACAAAAGCCTATTTTGAGGACCTCGACAAATCATATTTTTTGGAAGGGATAAAAAAATTGGAGAAGCGTTGGACAAAGTGTATAGAGCTTAAGGGAGACTACGTTGAAAAATAAAATGATTTATTTATCAAAAAATCTGTGTTTTATTCCAAAAGTCACGGACTTATTGACCCGCCCTCGTAGCAATGGTCAGCTTTTGAAAGAGCGTCACACACTACAGTTGTAAACGTTTAATCTCCTTTTATAAAAAAAAAGAAATGCTTTGCATAGGGTCTAGAGAACAGCTTGCATGTCATAGCAGCAAATGATTTTTGCCTTATTCTATGTCTACTCTTTTCTCTAGTCAACAAAAATCTCTTTCCTATAAATGTTAACCAACAGCATTTTGATCCGTCCGCGTCCGTGTGGCGACGGATTAAGAATACGAAGTGTCGCCACCCCTATTCATTCACTGGGTGTCGTATAGTCTTGTGACTTAAAGGTCTTTGTTACCAGGTCAATAAATTCCAAAAAAAAAAAGTTACAGTGTCGGAAGAGCCGACTAAGGGAGCACACTACGCAGGACAACAGCACTGCAAAGAGAAGGAAAACTTGAAACAAACCATATACCAACGCGTTTGGCCAGCGTGGTATAGTAGGCTGAAACCTCATTTTTAAGGAGAGGCCTATGTGCAGCAGTCGACTATTAAAGGCTGTTGATGTGATGTGATATGAACAGTATCTTGATACGACGATCCGGCAGAGAACCAAGGTCATCGACATAGCCCCCCGGATTAACAAGAAGTGGCAGTGGGCTGGCCATATTAGCCGCAGAATCTACAACCGTGCGGATAAATTAAGTGGAAACGTAGTGTAGGACGCCCACAGGCCAGGTGGGGTGGCGATTTACGCGAGATGGCTGGCAAGAGCTGGATGCGTGAAGCCGAAAATCAATTGGAGTGGCGTGCAATGGAAGAGGCCCATGTCCAGCAGTGGACTGCGATAGGCTGATGATGATGATGTGTCAAAAACCACTCCGTAACTCGCTTTTTGCCTTTTATACCAAGTACATGAGATCAGGACCAGCCCCTTATCACGATAGCATCACAAGTCTTCCCATTAGGATCTTGCATTCTGGTCCGAGAGATCTGATACTATCTACCAATTTATTTTATTTCCCTCTTTTCATGTCATTTAGTCAGTTTTGTCTTAGCGGGAGTTCCGTCTGACTTTTTTTTTACATTCATGGTAGTAGCATAACAATTTAAGTGACAAGATAGCGCAATAGCGAACAGCTTACTGCTGATCTCTGGTGGACTCCCACCTTAAGTTGGAATTTATTAAGGATTAAAATTAGGCATCGCACTTTTGTGAGTTTACTCTTTTTCTTTGATCATTTTTTAGACCTCTGGGTCCCAAAATCATTAATGTCCTGTTGATAATCTACTATTAAGTACTACTTATTAAGCATAGTTGTTGTTTTAATTTAAAACACAAAGACTAAGTCCCAACATGTATGGTAGATATTACCAGGAATTTAACACAAAGACAAATAACATCACAATTGAAAATCACCAAATGAAATTACCGTGGGAGAGCTATGCTTCGGCACGAATGGGCCAGCTCGACCGCCTGATACCAAGGCCTCACAGAAAACCGGTGTTAAGCAATTCTTTCGTTGCCTTTCACTGGGTGAGTGAGGTTACCGGAGCCCAAATCCCCCCTCCCGCACTTTTGAGTTGCAGGTGTCCATGGGCTGCGGTAGTTGCTTACCATCAAGTGACCCGTCTGCTCGTTTGCCCCCTTATACCATAAAAAAATTGAAATATTATAGGTATCTATGAGTAAGGGGCATTAATGCTACTTAGATTAAATTAAATTAATTGCGAATTCTTATGTCTTAGCAAGTTAATTGCTAATGCTAATATTATTTGCTAATATTGCAATTTCGTTCGAGGTGAGCAACTTTCAACGACCTACTGTCAAGAGTTTCTGCGAGCATCGCGTATCGGAATACGACATTTAGAGACTGCATTTGTCCTGAAGAAAGACTGTCGATATTTCTTAGGTAAGTGTTTTTTTTTTAGAATCACACTACAACAGCTACAAATATTCAGATTGTATTTGTAGTTATAGTAGTCTGATTGAAGCAGTTTTAGTGTGATTTCTGAGATGTATTGAAATTGAAACAAAAGTTATTTTAACTTGTTTATTTTAAGTAGGTAAACAGCGCAACATATTACAATAATTCAAAAATCGGAGAAATTTAAGTCAGTACTTTCCGACCAAGTAGATGCAGCAGGCGATCCTTCCTCATACGTTTGACGTCTTGCATATCCAGACCCATGTGGGGTAAGAACAGCCTGGTTTTGAGAGGAATATCCGGATTCATCGGTAGATAAATAATTATAGTTCTGTGTCGAATACCCCGATCGCCGTGTGCTATCACGCGCGTAATTATAATTATTTGCATAAAGTCTGTTTTCACGTTTCTTTTTGATTTGTTGTATCAGTGATAATACACCTGATTGAAGCTCCAACGTTTCGTCATCGTCGAAAGACGTAACAGAGGGTAGGATACCTTTAAAAAATGATAAAATTGGGGGATCAGTTTGTTGTGATAGCCTGCTGTCTAAAAACTCGCTCATTTTGACATCTAAGTCCATTATATGTTGCTCTGGTGGCATGGTCTTTTGTTTTTTAGAAGTGCTTGGTTGCGAATTCTCAGACAACTGAGTATTGCCTTCTGTCCCTGGTTGAGATATACGCGACGCAACAGACTCTTGAGGAGGATTAGGTCTAGCAACTTTACGCAAAAAATCCATTTGCTCTTTATATACATATGGCTTTGACGACTTTGCCCCTGATCCTGATGTTTTTTCATCATTTTTGTTTGTTCGGATCCAGACATTCCGTAAGTTCGTCCACTTGGTCAATACTAATTTACCTGAAATTATATTGCAACATTATTTTCAGATATTGTGCGTCAGGATGTTCCTTCAAAGACCTGCACTAGAATTTTAGAGTCGGGGTATCAACTGTTAGTAAAATTATTAAAGAAATGAGTTGCATTATCTGGGATACATTAAAAGAAGAGTTTATGAAGTTGCCCGACAATGAAAATAAATGGGAAAACATCGCAAATGGTTTTGGTATTAAAGCTAACTTCCCACACTATATTGGAGCCGTCGACGGCAAGCATATTAGAGTAGTGAAACCAAATCAAAGCGGCTCGATGTATTTCAATTACAAAGGTTATTTTTCATTTGTTTTACTAGCTGTTGTTGATGCAGAATACCGTTTCATTTATATAAGTGTTGGTTCATATGGGAAAGAATGCGATTCTTCCATATTCAAGGAGACTACCTTTTGGAAGAAACTGAATGATGGTAGTTTAAACATACCAAAGCCAAGGCCTCTTCATGAAACAATCGAAAAGGATATGCCCTATGTACTAGTTGGCGATGAAGCTTTCCCCCTGACGACAAATTTAATGAGACCTTTCGGAGGCAATCATTTGGATGATACGAAAAGAATATTTAATTATCGATTATGCCGTGCAAGAAGATTTGTTGCGTGTGCTTTTGGAATTTTAGCTAATAAATGGAGAATACTGCATCGACCATTGGATGTTCACCCAGACACCGCTATCCATAATGTGAAAGCCTGTGCAGTATTGCATAATTATTTAAGAGAAAGGGATGGTCTAAACTTTGAAGATATTCAACTTGCACTAGAACAATCGATACAAGAACAAGATCAACAACAGAGAGTACATAATCCTCGTGGTGGTCCCATTGCAAATGTTATACGATCGGACTTTGCAGACTATTTTACTTCCCCGATTGGTTCGCTGCCCTGGCAAACTAATGCGCGATACGCATAATATAAATGAGTTAAAAATTAATAATACAACTGTAAATACATAACTATGTAGTATAATAGTTAATAAACTTTACTGGCACTTGTTACCGAAATGTTGTCTTTCTTTTTCTTCCATGTTTTCAAAATTAGGTATTAGTATGGTACAAATTTCGCGCCAGGCCAATAGTTTCAGATTATTGTTTTTGTAGTCATTTAAAGTTTTATCCCAAAGGACTGCTCTTTCGTAAACTAATGGAATTAGTTCTTCGGGTTTTATTTCTTTCTCCATTTTCACACAACAAACAAAAACAGCGCGCGCGCAACCAACACGACGAATAAAACACGAATGGAGTTGAGCAAGCAATGTGTAGCGATCTAGGAAGCGGGGCGGGGAGAGAAGGTAACAACGCGCTCGAGTCGATTAGATGCACTAGTGTGAACAGCAACAAGCAGGCACCTATGCGAGCACGATTCGACGCGATTTTTAGTCTTACCACGGGCGCTGGCCCGTCGCGTCGGTTGGTTTTTTTAAGTCGTATTAGACTAAAAATCGCGTCTCATCCAATGTGAACAGCTCCATATAAAGTGTATGGTGACCAGAGCATTCGACTTTTAGTAATATGCAACTTACGACTAGTGTGAACGGGCTGTTACAAACGATCATTACTTGTGAGTTTGTCAGTATATCACTTGCTACTAATTTTACATAAATAACTTTTTTTTTTATAATTTAATTCACCGACACCATTCAAAATGTAGACAATTTTTTATCACGAAAATCGTTTCGTGATAAAAAAAATTGTCTACATTTTATTTTCTCATACATTATTACAAAAAATAATGCAATACTAAGTTTGTTCGCGATATGCTAGTCTTCTTCGATTCACTATTTTAATAAAATTAAAATTATAGAGCGAAATTTCACGACAACAATTAATTTGTTAACTGCTAATTATGAATTCACAATTAAATATGAGTGTAAACACTAATTATTCCATCACTACTGGACATAGGCCTTTCCTAAGAAAGGATGTTTTAGCTTACTATACCACGCTGGCCAGACTCGTTCTTATAGAGTTTGTGTCAAGTTTTCCTTCTCGTTGCAATGCTGTTGTCCTGCATAGTTTGCTCCCTTAGTCGGCTCTTACGGCACCCACTAGATCAATAGGAGTGGTGACACTCCGTATTGTTAATCCATCACCCCATGGTCCCCCATAACTGAGGAAATATAACATTCTATGAATATACCCAATAGACGTACATAGAGGATCTTATGATAATTTGTAATATACTTTACAAAAGGTGATGACACCTTTGACACATGTATCCATCGCCAGGGATTTTGAACACAAAATCCTATTTGTTTTTCCTTAGTTTTAACACATTAATATGTTTATTTTCATGTTTCATGATGGCAGATTGGTATACAAGAATTAAAATACTATGTTCATATATGAGTAGTACACAAACCAATTACCTTTTTCTTTTTTTCCATGTGGATGTCATCATGTTTAAGGTTGTCTATAAAATATTGTAAATATACCTTTATTTTCTAATTATACATCACAATCTTACTTCCTAAATTGATATTAAATTAATTTGTCTATATGAGTTAGATTACATTACTATAATAATGTCACCATTATAAATGCATCAATTTCAGAAATTGACTAAAACAGGCGAGTAAAAAGAGGTCAAACTTTAAAAAAATATATTTAAATATCAAGGTCTTCATCAGGGTCTTCCTCATCCCAGTCATCAACTGCATCAGGCTCATAGTACACTTTACTTTGTCCATCATGTATTTTACTCATGTAAGGTAACTTCAAATTGTATTTCTGAATTTTGTCAGTTTGATCTACCTCAATTTTGAATGTAGAAAGATTGGCAGGTAATGGTTTATCTTCCACCTCCTCCTTTTTCTCCTCTGCTATGACTGGAGTTAATCTTAATATAGACAATTTGGAGTCATAGTATATAATTTCTTCAGACCTGATGACTTTGTTACCTTTCTTTATTGTAACAAATATGTTACTACCATTGGTATTACTAAATGATAATATTACATTTACCAAATGATTTAAATGGGTCTGCAATTTTGAACCATGTAAAACACAGTCTTTATGTAATATTAATATCAACCTGTTCACATTAGAATTGACTTGTAACTTTTTTATACAATTTAAAAATTCGCTCCATCCCATATGTAAAGACATTTGGTTTACAGAATCAATAACTATAGAGCTTTTTGTATTTGTATACTCATCAATCATATTTATGTTAAATTCGGGATAATAATTTACATTGAAGTGGCTTTTCAAAACGTTTCTCCAGAGATAAATTGGTTGATCGTAGCAAAATATGTTTATTTGGTCTTTTTCCTCTTGCACCAGTTCTAAAAGTAATGGTAGCACATTTTTATTCCTGTCGTCTTCTATTAACAAAAATGGGGCAGATTTCAATCTAAATAATGTCATGCTTATAAAGATAGCAGCGCTTTAACTTTACAAAATAGAATTCTTACTATAAACATAACCTTAATTTATTCCTCTATCTGATAGAGTCTATCATAACATGTTCACCACAGAGTACTTTTTTTTTTGGAATTTAATGATCTGGTAACTAAGACCTTTAAGTCAAGACCACAGAGTACAGTAATATTAATATTATTAAAGCAGGGATGTTAGATTGTGGTGAGCCTAATCTGGTACATACGTCGATAAAAAGCATTTAAAGCTGGTATTTGAAAAAAAGTTTGTACACTCTCAATAACGTTGTATTAATAAAAATAATACTAATAAATCGTTTATTTTGGATGTTCTCAAAATATTCTACTGATTTCATTGAAAAAAATCATACGTGATAAAAAATTAACAATAATAGTTATTATTAATATAATAAATAATAATATTTATTATCTTTATTCGTTGATATTTTTATTGTTAGATCTTATAAATGTCTAATCATAATTTGAAAAATAAAATGAAAATCGACTGTGAGTTACATCGGCCGATTCTTTATATCATTTTCTGACGAAATCATACCCGTCATCCATGGATAATTCGCTCGATTCATAAAGCTAGGTAATCTAAACGAAGTCAAAAGGTCAAAAATAAACATCGTTATGCACAGTAAATTTTTACTATAATCAATGTTGTAACTATGACGTACAGCAAGAACTTATATATTGTTAATTATACCTTTTTTTATTTATGATCAATGTAGAAGTTGGTATTACTGCGTACAACACAATATTTAGTTGGTACATAGTACAAGACCCTGAAAAATGGTACGTATACCAAGAAATTGGTACGTATACATCCCTGTATTTGAGAATTTTACACTCCTAAAGTCACGAAGTCGAGAAGGTATATGTATATATATTAATATATATATATATATATGCAACAGATTACTATAATGTAGCAAGCTAGGTTGTACTTACCTATATTTTGTCATTGACATTATCCTTGTTAGTCTTGGGTAGTACACGTACGATGTACCGATAGGTACTAGTACTGGGTATTGTACTAAAAGTGATGTTTCGTGTTTGTTGAACTTTTTCGGGGGTGGCCGCAAAGCTTTGTTTAATGTTCAGATCTGACATAATAAAGGCCATTTAACTCTGTTGCGGTCATTAGCAACGTTCCCGTTTTATTGCGTATGACTGCTTTGTCTTTATTAAACCCTACTGAAGCACCATGACCAGTAATACTCGGTACTGAATGTAGATTTGTAGAAAGTGTGGAGTGGATTTGTAGAAAGAGTGTTAAAAGAGACTCTTCAGCGTATTGCGAGTTATTGTTTTTGTTAATGTAGGACTTCTCTTGTCTTTTTTTTTGGTTTATCATTGCTAGAACATATTTTGTGTGTCTTTTTTTTTAAGATTTTGCGTCCAGTCTTCTTACAGACTTTGCAACAAACGTAGAATGCGTTTTCTTCTTCATGGTGTTGTTGACCAGGTTCAAAGTTTTCATTGTTATGATGAAGAGCATCACTTTCTTCTATAATTTTAATTTCTTCTGATTTTGGCAGGACGTCACGTGACTCTATAGCAACACGGAAATTTTTATATTCCGAGGATAAGCATCATTATTGTTAGTAGATCCTCATGAATTTTTAAGTCCATATCTGCCAGTTTATCAACCGTGTCCATGAACTTGTTTGTGTGTGCGTACATCATTTCCTTCAAGTTTTGAAAGAATTATTTGCTTAAGAAGATATGCTTTACGTGCAGGACCTTTACTCGCATGACTTACCTTAAGTTTATCCCATAAAGCCTTTGCAGAGATGCATTTCTTTATTAGTTTAAGTTAACGAGCGATTATTAAAATCAATTCTGATTTTGCCTGTTTATCTCCTTCGACATCGCTCAATAGTTTGCTTTTTATCAACACAGCTTCAGCCTGAATTGCCCAAGTGTCATAATTGTCCTTATCTAGTTGATCAATGTGAAATGTCTTCGGCATGCTTGCAACGTAGGCACCAGAGTTTAATGCCTATTTATGTCGTGACAGCGTTTTTTCACTTCATTCGCTCTGCTGCCATGTTAACTTTTATAAAGTGGAACCACTTTTATATATAGACAAGGCAATAATACATATAACAACTTGGTTAAAGCAGTTAGAAAGGGTTTTCTTGTAGTTAAAAATACAGTGATGTAATATTTAAAGAGTCCGTAATGTTTGTATGCAAGGAAAAAACAGATGAGTAACTTCTAAATAGTCAAACGTAACTGTAGTAACGACAGCCATAGGTAAGTTGTAGGAAGATATGTAGTCTCTTCACAGTGATGAGCACTGTAAAGGATAACGCGAACAGCATTTTAGAAGAAGATGATGAGTTCGGTACAATTAGTTCGTACGGTACCCTCTTATACATTTTATTCACCTTGCCAATTTCAGAAAGATGTCGCAATAGTACTGTTTGGTCAACTTTCATCCTGGTAACAAGTTCCATGAGTGACGGAACAGAAGTGAATCTACATGACCGCCAATGCCTTTAGATCATTATTTTTCACAGAAATTATGGGTCTTTCACACAGATCCAAACTACACGGATAAAAGAGCTCCTCCTACAGTTTTCTGGATCGAGGCTCTTAGCTATCAATCCGCGAGCAGATACGACTATCGGAACAATGATCACTGAATCGACAATCTCGTGAGATAAATCCAAATATTTTATCTGTTTTTCTTTTTCAACTTTCACGAGTTTCTCGTCATTAGGAACGGCGATATCAACAATCATTGCGCAGCGCTTTAATCGATCTATCACTACAATATGGCTTATTGGCAAAAATAGTCCTGTCTTTGATAATAGATCGATCCCAATACAACGTGGCCCGATCATTCTCGAGAACTGGGTCGGGCACATACCTGTAGTATGGTACCTCTATATTTACGAGTTGGTATTTAAGGGCAAGCTGTTGGTGTACGATCCTGGCTACTTAGTTGTGCCTGTGCAAATATTCACCGTTAGTGAGACGAGAACAACCAGAAATAATAAGCCTGATTGATTCCCCAGGATGGTGGCATGCCCGACAGATGTCAACCGTACCATCTTTCAGGATATATTCCCGATAGTTATTCGTCATGATAACTTCGTCCATAATCGCACAAACAAAACCTTCAGTTTCTCCGAAGATATCAGTATACCGTAGCCAAGTCGTAGATGCTTTTAACTCTATATCGTTTACCCGTTTACTTCCCGAAAAAACCGACCATGGAGCTCTTTGCCCTTCCATACTTCCCTGCGATCATTAGTACTACAGATTTGCGCCGATTCGCCAGAGTGAGCAGGGTGAATCCGGTATCCACTGCAACTACATTGCGATGCACCCCTACATCAGAAAATATTCTCTGAGATTGCATATTTCGCGATTGTGTAGGGTCTTGATATTTAATATTCCGCGACCCCAAGCTTTCGCGAGATATACAATCTCATAACCGATGAAGCATACCAAAGGAATACATCAGAACCGGCATGACCCAACCATTGCAGGCTCGCACCTTTTTCCCGCTGATTAAAGACTTAAGTACTTTTTTCAGGCGGTCACCTTTAATAATGCTGTCAATTGTAATTTAGTTGGGGCTAGTAATTTTAAATCATCCAATCCATCAATAATTTGATCATCTTTCTGCAACCTATAGCCTCACCCTGAACCCTCTAATACTATAAGGGACTCAGACTATCACCTTGAAATAAATATACCCCACTCGATCTTTATTAGTACATCGTTTACTGCAGTCTGCCGACATCCTGAATAGCGAAGTGCTGTTCTCCATTGCCCCATACATGACTCCAAGAAAGTGCACAGAGTTGTATCATTATACAACTCCAGCTCCCTCAAAAGCCATGTGTGTGAAACCGAGTCATAAGCTTTCTTATAGTCTATCCAACATGTCACCAGACACTTACGATTACGACGCAGCTGTTGGCTAATGGTCATGTCTATAATAACGAGCTCTTTAGTGCCACGGGACCCACTTCTACAATACAATACATGGTTGGGAAACATGTGATAGGTCTAAAATTTTTAGAATCCGTGACACTACCAGACTTATAAAGTAGATTATACCAGTGGTTAAAAATTGGGGTAATGAACGCGAATCCAATGCCGCCTGGAATTGAAATGCCATACATGCATGTGAGCTTCGGAACCGCATAAGCCAAAAGTTGTGTAGTCCGTCTGGACCAGGTAATTTCCAATTCGTTAATAAACGGACTACATAGCTTACATAATCTCTATCAGTAGTTACAGGTTCCATAGGTGTTATAGACTCACATGAGCGTCTAACATCCCGTCAGAATCTCGAACAGACATCCTTTAGTATTTACAATACACGCCATATAAGTATACGCGAATGAAGTTAGCTTTAAACCGAATAACGCGCAGGTACTCTCGCAAACACACTGAACATAAAAATACATAACATTTATTTTTTGCGTGAATTATTAACAATTTATTTCACGTTTAGTAATAGAAGTTTTGTGTTGTTTGTTCGCTTCGGATAGATTCGCTTTAATAAAGATTCAGACAGATGTACGTCGTAGTCGTGTAATCGTGTTTAAAATGTATCCTCCTTTTTTTTCCGTTCGGAAATCCCTCGGATACCACCTATCGGTGGCATGTCGGACTCGAACCGACTAAAACCGCACGCCGTCTCGGGTACTAATAGCCGGGGAACCAGGTATACCCTAGAAAGGAAGTCCCTGGTGCCCCGACATACCTCGGGCCATCTACAGACGAGTAGACGACCCCCCTATGTTCCCTCTGCTCCCTGGAAGCGAGCGCGCTTCGCAACGCGCTCGCCGCCACCCCGGCCTGCTTCTGCTAGGGTGACAGATGGCCTTACCTGTCACCCCCAGGCCTGCGCTTATGGAGGACAGAGGTCGTTCTGCGACCTCCGGCGCCTGAGTCGCCTGCGGTACAAACTGCCTCCTCCTAGTTTTCCATAACATGTCAACACATACAGATAACAAAAAGTAGTTGTAAGCAATTATCGGCCTTAAAGGTATTACAAATTTTAAAATAAATTAGATCTTTATTAGTTTACTAGTGAAATCTTAGATATAATAATATGCGGATTTATACAGTAAAATACACACGCCGGCAGAATTACCGGTACACAAAAAAGGAAGAATTAATTTTAATTTTTCGTTCATCCATCTCTATCGACTGATTCGAAGTTGATTTACTGTTTTCGTAAAGTTAGTAAATTTCGTTTTAAAAACGTTGTATTGCAGTTTTATGAGGCGTTTGTGTTTTCTCGCATATTGATTGATAAAGGAGATCGTTATACCTAGTCTAATAAAAATACAGTGGCATATGGTGGTGGCTCAATTATGGTCTGGAAAGGGATATGTTTAGGAGCCCGCACGGAGTTGGTGGTAGTCGACGGCGGGAATCTGACTGCTGATTGGTGTTTCAGTGATTTTTCGGAAGAACGTTGCCATTGGCCCCTTTTATTGGCAACTACTTCATTCTTATGCAGGATAATGCTCGGGCTCAAAGTGCTCTCTCAGTACGGGCATGCCTAAACCATGTTGGTGTAACGGTGATGGTGCGGTGCCCGGATATGAATAAAATTGAACACGTTTGGGACTTGCTAAAGAGGACTGTCAAATCAGGAATGCCGCCTTCTAACAAATGGGCGAGTTGCGAAACACATTACACTCGATATTAAACATTCATTTAATTAATTGTAAACCGTCACAAAATCTTTAATTTTTAACTGTTTCTCTCTCATTACGAAATCTAAGAAAAATGCATTTTGTTTACTTTAGTTTTTTTTTATTAAACTTTTTTTTAATTATTTTTATTCATGACTATAGATATAAGTCTTTCAGTCGAAAACATAGATGGGTTTAAACTTACTTAGGATTTCATTAAACTCTAAGTATGGTGTTGCAAATTAATGTCAACACATGCTAATTTAATTGTTGTTTCATGTTTAATTATTATTTGTTTAAAAATAAAATTAACTATTTTATATTGCTTTTTTTTTGTGTTTCGTTAATGCTGCCGGCGTGTGTACATGAACCTGAAAAACTCATCGATTTGTAAATACACGGAAATGATATTGATATCTCATAAGAATAGAATATTGTAGCTGTGACTGTCAAACGGTACCTCTTAGATTAGGTGGACCATATTTATACATTCACTTTTTTTTTTATATAAAATCCTTGTGTAAAAAAATTGTTAAGATAAAATGTATAGACGCATTTCACACAACGTAAAAGAATTGTCTCGACAAATAGTATATGTTCCTAAACACAAGCCTCCGAACAATGAAGACATTAACATTTTGAAAGATTTTATTACCCAACATAAAAAGATTCTTATTCTGACTGGTGCCGGCATTTCTACAGAATCAGGTTTCTTAATTGACTACATAATGGTATTAGTACTGAATTCAAAGCGATCAACTAGCTTTAAAATATTTCACCTTCCCTAATCTTGGTTATTTACAGGTATACCAGACTACCGGTCAGAAGAAGTTGGGTTGTATGCCCGTAGTAACCATAAACCCGTTCAATACCAAGAGTTTGTGAAATACCCTAAAGTTAGACAACGATACTGGGCTCGAAACTTTGTAGGGTGGCCGAGATTTAGTTCTGTTCAACCAAATGCTACACATTTTGCAATTCGTGATTTGGAAAAGGTATTTCATGCAATCTGAGTAGGTATTAGTAAAGATTCCAAAAGACTACGCAATAAATTAGAAAAACTCTACTGCTTTTAATTTATAGTTGTGAAGCATTCTAAGATGTAATTAAATTTTGTGATTATTTTAATATACTTATTTAGTCACAATTTATTACGAACTCAAAACTGAAATATTTTTATAGCAAAACCACATTAAACACCTACATGAAACATGTAATTTTCAGATTATGCAGACTTTTTAGTCAAAGGGAATTTTATTAACACATGGTGCAGTCATTTTCTTTGACATTTTATCAGAACTATTTACTGTGTAATTTAATATTTTCATATTTACTCTACTTTACCCATAGTACTCTATGTAGAAACATCACATCAACAGCATTTACTAGTCATCTGCTGGACATAGGCCTCTCCTTAAAAAGAGAAAACATAATTAAGTTTAATGTAATTTGTTAAGGTGTAAACAAAAATGGTCAAAAAATTTATACCTCTTGTAGATATAGTCTGGCACACTTTCGTTTTTAAGCAACTGAATGAAGATTTTAGTTCAAAATGATATGATGATGAATAGAATAAATACATGCACTTACAAGAGAAATTTGTATACATACCTTTTTTTCAGTGTGGTAAAGTAACTTCTATAGTGACACAAAATGTAGACCGCCTACATCAGAAAGCAGGTTCTAATAATGTAATAGAACTTCATGGGAGTGGATATATCGTAAAATGTTTAAATTGTCCATATGAAGTTAATAGAGATGATCTGCAGGTAGAACTTCTACAGAAAAATCCTGATTTGACAAGTGATTTCTTCATGATAAGGCCCGATGGAGATGTGGAGTTATCTAAAGTTAGTATAATTTGTACATGACACATGAATAAATTGAATTAAATTTAATCACGATTTTTTGCTGGGGTAGTTATTTTGTACTGGCATTAACAATAACCATTAAGACCAGGGGAATGGTCTGGCTGAAATGGTCTTCTAGGAAATCTCTTTTTTTTTATATGCTTTAAAAAATGAATACAAAAATAGATTTCATGAGAAATTAAGTATTTTATTTTTCTAGGAACAAGAAGAAAGGTTTAAGTCACCTCTATGTCCAGACTGTGAAGGACCTCTAAAACCTGACATTGTGTTCTTTGGTGATAATGTTCCAAAAACAAGAGTGAACCTAGTCAAAAGTCAAGTAACATCTAGTGATGGTTTGTTAGTTTTAGGTTCTAGTTTGACAGTTTTTTCAAGTTATAGAATAATCTTGCAAGCCAAAGACGAAAATAAGAACATAGCCATTTTAAACATAGGTCCAACCAGGGCAGATAACATAGTAAATGTTAAAATATCTACTAAATGTGGAGACATCTTACCAATAGTGTGTAACTCTGTTGTTAAGGAATCCAGTTGACATAAACAGTAATTTATATAATGTTATAGCTACCTCATCTAAGGATTAATTTATTGAGATATTTTTAATAAATAAAAAAGTAAATATGGCATTTCATTTTAATTGCAGGTTTAAAAGTAGGGATACAAAACTGGTTACAATTTAAAAAAAAGGTTCAATTTTCGCTTTCCTGCAGGTAATTTTGATTTTTAAATACTTATAGCAATACAAATAGTACATAATGAAATAAAACATAAGTTGACATTTATTTATAATCATAATAACTCATATGAAGTTTCATCAAGAAAGACCAGAGAAACTCGAATGTGTATTTTTATGACATCAAAGTATAAGCACTTACGAAATAATAGTAGTTTTATTGATTGTAAATTAAAAAAACAGATCATCATATTTAAAACAGAAAAGAGATAAGTATATGAAGTAGAAATTAGATTTCTTTTATTGGACTATTATGCATATTCATTACCTTAAAGCCCTATCAAATCATTCATTAGCTTAGCCATCATTATTGCAAGTACTAACAATCTTTCTAATTATGCCATGTATTTCTTAAACAGAAAACATCACCTCCGCCTATAATGAACAAGCATAGATTTATTAATTGAATTTACAATGTTTTGATTATTTATAACATCTGTAAGGTGCTTATTCCTAAGTAGGTAGTTTTAGGTAGTCATCTAAAAATATGTTACTCTATCAGCAATGAACAATGAATCACTTAAAAATACCTATATGGAAAGTCTAGCTGTGTCTGGTAATATTGAAAACATTTGCACTAAATTTTCTATTGAGATTTGTAAAGATTATTAGTGTTTAAAATTTCACACTGATTTTATAAATCTGTATATTAATATCAATAAACTATCTATAATCTCTTATCTGTATGTAATATTAGTGGCAGTGTTAATGTAATCATGTTGTATGAACCATTTTGAAGCATAGCAACAGTAGAGCCGATCAGTTATAAGTATATAAAGAAATGGATAGACGATCTTCTAGTCTACTTATGTTCATACTTAAATCAAGAACACTATTTCTGAACACCTTCACTGCTGAATAGCACACACCTTGTGCTTATGGAAACTTTCATGTGCTGAAAAAACACACCGGCATTGTTTCGATCCACAAGTGCTGGCCCCACAACTGTTATGTTCCTTACAGCAGTGCCAATAACACACACTTTGTGTTCCCGACGAGCGTGCTGTAAACCACACCCTTGGTGTTCCATACGAGTGCTAAAATGAAATTGCTGTGTGACGTAACGGCAATGCGTGAAGACATACGGTTGAGTATATAAATGTTTTATATTTTCGTTTATTTTGTTCAGTATGTGTTTTACGAAAAATTTTAAACCAAATCTCTTAACTAAATCTTTAAAATATAATAAAAATTAAAAGAAAAAAACTCTTGAAGGCAAGTCTACATTTAATATATAATATTTATTATTATTTATTCAAGATATTTTTATTGAATACATATTAAATGTAGACTTTCCTTTCAGGGTACTTTCGTAATTAATATTATATTTTAAAGATAAATTAGTTTCATATTTATTCACAGAACATACCGTATGTTTTCACGCATTGCCGTTACGCCACAGAGCATTTTTTTTGTACTTGAATACGGTACAACAAGGGTTGTGGGTTATAGCACGCTCTAAGCGAACACAACAGTTGTTTTATACGGACTGTCGACTATTCATAATACTCCAATGCTGAACACACTACGAAATTTGTTGGCAGTCTAAGAGTATTTCTTTTATGTATATTATAGACAGCAGTGGAAGTTGTTTAAAAAAAGTACTACTAAATGAATAAATACTTCTAGTGAACATATCAATTATTACCAATTAAAACACCTTATGCTAGTCATTGTTCGCCACATTATTGTGCACTAAATATATTCAAATTAGATTGATTTAATAATTGTCTCCCTACTTATTACAATGAATTAATAACTTACTGGCATAATTTTAACAAATGGTAATAAGTCACTTATTGTTGCGCAGGTAAATAGAAATGCCTGGTAAGCAAATTATGTGCTGTAACATTCAATAACATATGGAATCAATTACACACTATCAAGATTAAATTATTAACTGTATAGAATTACGAATTCCCCCAAAGTTTGTGGGATTCAATTTGTACTAGAACTTTACATTCCTTTAAATTGTTTTGTGAGAATTCTCAGAATGGCCACAGAAGTGGAGTTTTTGGTACACAAGCAATTCATGAGAGCTCCCAGTATACTGTTCCGTTAAGTAGAACACAACACACAAAAAGTAGTTTAATTAACAATTATGTTAATGTCCAAATGAGAAATTGTTCTTCTCCTGAACGAATTTTATCACAACTGCTTCTAACAATTTCTTTAGATATCCCAATATCAGGAACTTGCGAGGTGAATGAAGTGTCAGCAAATTAAACACATTGACTTAAAATAACACATTCAACTTACAATTCAACACCAGTCTTAAGATCACAATAAAAATCATGTCCACATTGAAATGTTTTGTCACTACTATAACATAATACTAGACGGGTTGCTCGTCATGTGTCAAGACTTTTGTAAGCAACATTATAAGAAGTAGTCTGCCTGTGGCTTCTTGGAGGGTACACCCCGGGATTCCTGAGGTGCAGCTTCAAATATTGTAAACTCGCGTTGCAAGTTTTCGTTTAGTTCTAGTATCGCGGCAACATTGCCGCATCTGTAGACAAAAGATTTCACATCAAATTATGTTTTCAAACAGCAACATGTATTGGTTGTGGGCTACTATCATAGACGGTCTGTCTATGATAGTAGCCCACAACCAATACATGTTGCTGTTTGAAAACTTATGTATATCACATTTTGGTTTTAAAGACTTTTGTTGGAAGGCCCTTTAAAGGCAGACTGAATAGGAGTTCTCCATGTAAAAGCTGCTGTAGCATTACCACAGCAACTTAACTTTTGTAAAGGGCTCAAGCAGAGACTTGTCATAAAAGACAGATTTTCCTTACAAGCCATAAGCCATTTCAATCCCAATCCTTGGTTGAGAAATATTTAAAAGTGAATAAAGACATCTTAATAAGATATAATATGAGGTGGTGACATAAATAGCCAAACTACACTAAATAAGGAGAAGGGAAAAGTGTCCTTACATTACTGTACTGACATTAAATATAATTACCTGAATTAAATATAATTACCTGTAGCAGTAGTTAGGTGCAGACCACACTGTGAGCACTGTCTCGTTAAAATGCCATTTGTAGCCCTCCATGACGAGCTGATGCGCACGACAGATCATGTCAATGTCGTTTGACACATTGAACTGCGCAACCACATCGGAACCGAATAGGTAGCCTGCGCCGCGGGGTGACACGCCCCAACCTTGAGTATCTGGATGATACAAGTAAAGTATTCAAAATAGGATTAAAAAAAACTATTTAAATCTCTCGTTTTTGAATATTATGAAAATTATTTTCAAATATATGAAGTCAATAGAACAAATTGATACCTTCAGGGTCACTCCAAAGCAGATCACACATGGGTCCATCGTGTGGTACTTCTTGTTTGCGGTCAATAGTTCTAATCTGGTCTAGGGTTTGTATGGAGGGGCTTAAACCGCCATGTACGCAGAATATCCGTCCGTCGATGATTGCCGACAGTGATAGGTAGTCAAATATTTCTGTGCAATACCTGTATGTATATGAACAGTTACAAAATTTACTAAATAATAATTTGCTATTCTTTCAGTAGTAACCTCTGTTTTCCATAAAATTTGAATCAGATTCTGTAGTATCCACGAATGATAAATACCTCAATATTAATTTAATAACTTTATGCACAAAATGTACAATGGCCGACTTAATGCAGTAGGCATTCTCTACCAGTCTACCATAGGGTCCTGTGGAAATGAATGAGAAGGTGGGTGCACTACACTTTGACTAAATATTAAGAAATAGTGTCTCGCACAGAAAGAGGAGAGAAGAAATGAGAGAAAGCAGAGAAATAACATAACATATATAAATAGTATATATATATACATTACATTATATACTATAATATATAAAGTGTAGATACTAGGTTTTAGACTTACCTCCATACAGTAATAGAACCATATTTTCTGAGACATTCATCATAGAAACCATAAACTTGTGTAATCTGTCTTGATTCATGATTGCCTCTAATTAATGTGATGCGATCTGGATAGCGGACCTAAAAGCATTTTTTTAATCGATTCTTTGTATGACTTCTAAAGACAAATAATATAATATGTCACTATATAATACATAACTTATGTGGGACACAAGTATACAGCTAAATTGATAGAAAGGAATAGGATCCATAGAAGTATTATAAACAAAAACAATGAGTTATTACATAGATCATCATTGTTCACAACTCAGTGTTCTCTCCTTTATAGTCTGTACTCAGTGTGATAACTAGCGTTTAATTCATAAAAGAAAATATTTTAGAAAATAGTGCATCTACATCCATTCTGAGCTGGTTTGGCTTTTTATACCCGAGTGACTGCACCCTTTGCCTAGGCACCCCTAACACCTCTCTAGTTAGGGCACTGTCTACAATTATAATATTGTTTTAATGTGAAACAATATTTTTTTAATTACAATAAGTAGAGCATACAATATTTTGCCAAAGTGTAATTAGTGAACTTTAGTAAGTTGCTCTATAATATACAAACTTTTGAGATTATAACTGACAATTAGACATTGTATAGAAGTCAAACAGAATGGGACATTTCTCCACTAGGAATCAATCAAAAGTTTTGCCATCACTGGGTTTATCCAAAGGGAATCCCTGAGCCTTAACCACTTCATGAATTACTGATGGACCCACTTCCCCAAGCTGTGTGTATCCAACAATAACAACTAAATACTACCTTTAATGCCAATAATAATAAGAATGTTTCTACAGAATAGAATCCTCTGTCTACAAAGTCTCCCATAAATAAGTAATTCGTTTCTGGGACATCTCCACCAACTTTGAACAATTCCTTCAGGTCATAGAATTGTCCATGAATATCTCCACACACCTGAAATAATTATGGTTTCTTAATAACGTAAATTGTAATATATATATAAATTATGTTACAGGTAAATAAGTATTTTTGCAACTTGACGCGTATTATTTATTACAGTCAATTAAAGTTAAACGACAGGTATATCAGAAAGGCACTATTTACAGAAAATATATCTAGTATTTATTATATTGAATTTAAGGTTTCAAAGCTAAGCACAGGGCAATATAGTATGTTTAAACGAACGAAACTATTACCGTAACAGGAGAATCTACTCTTTGAACATTGCTCTCTTCCACAAGTATTTCGCGGGCCTTGGCACAAAGTGCTTTAACCTCGGCCTCCATTATTATCTCGCATCTTTTAAGCTGTTCGATTTGACGATCAAGATCGCTTGTATCAGACATCCTTTTAAATGAAATGACCACGCTTTATCTGCAATAAAAAAAGTCATTATTACAATGCAAGACGGTTACATACATGCTTTCGTTAGGTATGATCAAAGCAAGGGGTAGGTAGAACCTTGTATTGCATTAAATAAATTAGGGAAACAAATTGAACATACAAATAACTAATTGTTGTGTTCTTTTGTCGTAATATCTTATCGACAGCATAAATCCGCACAAACAATCACAACGCGTCCGCCATTACAACGTTATGACCAGAGACTAGTGAAAGAAAATTTATTAAGTACTCAGACTACTCAGTCTGTACACTACATTATTATAGGGGCTTTTGATCAATCTAAAGTTATATTGAGTTTTGGGTTGTAAAGGTTTAGAGCCCGTCCGCACAGCGATATTTCACCGCGAGGTTTTAAGTCGGGCGGAAATAAATCGATACCGTATTGCGTTCAATTTCCATTGAATAACAAATTTATGGAATGAAGTTCCTTACCGCATTACACGCTCTGCTCGAATAGGAGCGTGACCGAAAAATGTGTAACAAGACTTTTTTCTGACACTTCTTGCGACACATGAGCGGTCTATGGACCCCCATGATGCCCCATCATGGGGGTCCATAGACCGCTCACGTCGTTTTTTTCGAGTGAATTTTATTACGCCAATGCGGATAGTCCTTAGAATTATTTATTATTTAGTCCTTAGTACATATATAGCAGTACTGCGAAAAAAATCTTGCGGTAAAATGTCAGTGTCCGGCAGGCTCATAATGTTCAATGAGGGTTTTCTGAAATGTTCAGCAGCGTCAGGTCCAACCACCTGTCAAAACACATACACGATTTGTATTTTTCGATCAATATTTTGGTTCAATCATTCTTAAAAACGTTTCAAAAGGAATATATTTTTTATTAAAAAACAATCAAATTGTGGAAAAAAATACTAGTTGAGCATGTTACCTTTCAATGAGCTTTTCTTTAGTACCAGTGACTTTTACGCCTCTTTTTGAGCTCAATCTTTAGTTCGGCAACCTTTCTCTGACCGTAATCCATAATAAACTCATTTACACTTTCAAATACATAGAATTTCACTAAAAAAATATACGTTCGGTAAGAATCTGTGCTATTTGACAGCTGTTTGGACCTGACGCATACGAAGCGCCGTCTGGTGGCAGACAGAGTATCGAAAACCTCATTAAAAAATAGTTGAAGAATATGACTGTAATCTTTCGCAGTCTGTGCAATCAATTTCAAAGGTGTTACCTCCTTTTTAAGCTGTGGATATTCCATTCGTTCATTCATCACTTCATTCGTGATTGTTTACTGTATTTATTGATTTAGCCAGTTGATAATATTCATAAAGTGTAAAATTGTTTTTTTTTGTGTTTTCTGTGATCTTGAAAATTAATATGGGTAACATACAAACCGTCGGTCCAAATGAGGCACTCATAGTTTCAGGTATGGCAGAAAAACTGTATTTTAAAAGAAACATAGTATTATTCTTTTATGTTTTGGTAGTTGAGTAGCTCCCCAGGCAATATGTATGTATGTATTTTACCATATGATAGTTGCACAATATTTAATTTTACTCATTCTTATGATAACGTGCTTAAGTCAGACCCGTTGATAACGAAATCTTTTTATCTAACTATTTAAGCGGAATATCGTATGTTTTGAAAGTAGATTTGATAACACTATTTCAAACACTTGAGAAATGAATTGCCGTATAGTTTTTATCCAAGCTCACTACGTCCACGCCCCAAAATTACTATCATATGTATCACTAATTTACGTAATTAAGACACGCTCATGTTTGCGTCTGCGATGGAGATCCTCTGAACAATACAAAATTTATGAAACCAAGGTCGTTTATCCAATTGTCATATAAACGTAGATATCTATTATGAAACTACAACATCTATTACAAATACATAACCTACTTCTTCTGTCATGTGTTTGGTATAGTTTATAGTTTTCCTCCTTATTGCATTAACGTAGGTATAATGTAGACATCTAGTTATTGCTCCTAAATCCTAATTAAAACAAAATTCAGACGCGCAAGGTTTGTAGATATGAATTTTAAAGTATGGTGATGCCAGTCTTTTCTTTATTCACTAATAATAAAATAAAAGGAATAAATAATAATAAAAAATAAATAAAAAGAAGGTAAAAGAATTTTGCGCCTTCTTTTTTAAAGCCGGTCAAATATAATGAACTTCAATTCAGCATATTTATTCTGATACAGAAATGGTAAAGATACTTTAACAAATTATACTTATAAATATTATCATTCATCATTAATAGTAATGGTTCCATTCACATAGGTATTGGGATTCTGTTTTTCCTTCGGGTGACTTTTTGGTACGTGTGGAATATGACGTATACTATAGCTCTCGTCTCTCGTTTGATATTCCTATGAGCAACAACGAGTTATGCAAATATTCCGTCGTAAGTAATTGTATATTCATCAATCATTATTGAATAGTCCTCAATTTATCCGACTCGTTTCAAGGATGCTTCAAATTATTATTTTTATGTGTATAATAATATATAAAATTTTAGTAACGGTATAGGTAGTAAAATATTGAATGAAAATTGAATATGAAGTGTCAACTCGATTCCTTGTAAAAATAAATACAGAAGAATATGATAAAAGAGGAAAATATCCAAAAATCTACCATGAAGTTGTAACTGGCCGTAGCTTTTTAGTAGACTTGCAACGAATAGTATATTCGGCAGTATACCGAATACCGAATATTCGGCGAGGCCCCTGACCGAATAGCCGAATATTAGGCAAAAGTATTCGGCTGGATTTTAGCGCCAAAAACTTGTACAGACGTGAATTAAATTATGTACCTGTTTTATGTACCAATGACTACTTAATAAATGATTACAAAAGAAATGAGAACCTTACCTTTCTAAATTTTGATTACCACAATAATTCAAATACATAGAATCCTCCATTTTTCCTATTCAGAAGATGATTATGTACCTGTGTTATGCACCAATGACTACTTAAATGATTATAACAGAAATGAGAATATGAATATATACGTAATCAATCGATTTTCATTTTTCATTTTACCAATTATTTCTCAATGACAAAATATATTATTTAAGTATTCGGTATTCGGCCGAATAATATGTAGATATTCGGTATTCGGCCGAATATGTTAAAAGCAGCCGAATAGGCCGAATACCGAATAGTAACCGAATATTCGTTGCAAGTCTACTTTTTAGTCTATTTCATATCTATTGAGGCTATATATATAGAGTTTTGAAGGAAGGACTGGGATATATTGTGCACTACCGCTATTTGTGCTATGTGTTCCTGTGCACTAATATTCTGTGTGATCGAAATTAAATGTGTTTTTAAAGGTACGCGTTATTCTGTAATACGATTTAGGATAGGACGTCCTTATAGGTCCCTTTTCAACACAAAAAAATCTTATAGATCAGATCAGATAATCACTTCCGTTTCTACTATAATCTGATGGATGGATGGATAAAAGGATTTCTGTGCTGGACACGTTTCTTATTCACAGAACCGACTATGCGGATCGTAGAATCGTATGCTAGTGTAGCCAAGTAATTTTTTAGGGTTCCGTACCTCAAAAGAAAAAAAAATCGGTCAGGTGCGAGTCGAACTCGTGCGCCGAGGGTTCCGTACCTACCCAGATTTTACGTAGATTTTTGCGAAAATTTGTAAGTACCAAAATTTATCATAATTTTCAACTTTTTTTTTGGAATTATTCCTTTATTTGTGCTGTAAGACGATTCTTTTTGCCAATATTCGTGATTCTAGGTCAACGGGAACTACCATATATACTAGGTATAATAATTCGATTCCACATTTGACATTAGCTACTGTCATTTTGTAAAATAATGATACCACATATAATAGTGTAGTGATGAACACAAAAATCGTTAAACAATCGCGATTTATGTTTATGTAATCATAATATTGGTGTGCCAATTAAAGACTAAATTATTGATTTTTATTTAAATAAATACATAATTATTTATTAATTAGTAACCGCTGCTTTATTTTATAAAAAGTTAATATTTTTGTTTTTTACATTAAATACAAAACTTATAATAAAAGAGCCTAGATAGTTTTCTGTACTGGCAACCCGTGCGCGCTCGTGCAGCTATCGCCATTTTGTTTATCTTGTCATTCGGCTTCATTCTCCCAGTCTGACTGCACGAATATCTTGTTTCATTGCGAATCGATATTTTGTTATTTTGTTGGGTTTTTGTTAAAGTTTTGTTACGTTGTGTTTGTTGTTACGTTTATAGTTTTTTGTGAACTTTGAGTGAATCTATTTGTTTTGGTTTTCCATCAAAATGGATCCTCAGCCAAGTACATCACAAAAAGACGTGGATGTTTTCTTGTCCCCAAGAAAAAAACGTCCACGAAAAGCTTTCACTGTTACTGAAAAAGTAATGATCCGCAACGCCTACAAGTACGTGAAAAATGAAACTTCTGCGCAATTGGAGGCCTTTGAAGTTGTGGAAGAAAATGAATGTATGAGCAAAGTTGCTGACATATTGGGAATAACCTCACGCTCTGTTTGTAACGTTTTGAAGGAAGGAAATGAAGGTGCGCCGCCAACTCCTCCTAAAAAAACTGGACTAAAGCGAAGTTTCAAAGATAAAATTGATGAATTTACATTCTCCGCAATACGAAGAATTGTTCATCAGTTCTTTTACCGAAATGAACCTCCAACCATTGCAAAAGTTAGTCAATCAGTCAGACAGTATTAATTTAAACCTACATCTTTTATATATAAGCATTGATTCCAAACTATTATAAAATTTACTATTTTAGATTTTACAAGTGATGAACGATGATCCAGAAATGCCCAAGGTTTCCAAAGACACCCTCAGAAAAATTTTGAAGCATCTTAATTTGAAATTTGTTGCGCGGGACCTTGATTTTTATACACCTAATATAATAGACTTTAGTATCTGGTATAAATTACAAATTGCTAGGTCTACCCATTCCTGAGAAAATCGGTGGTGACACACGGAAAGACGGACAGACGGACAAGTGATCTTATAATGGTTCTTTTTTTACCTTTTGAGATACGGAACCCTAAAAAACGGAACCCTTATAGGATCACTTTGTTTTTCGTCTGTCTGTCTGTTAAGACCCTTTATCTGCGGAACGCGTGAAGGTATTGGTTGAAATTAAAACCATATACTAAGGTCTAAGGTCCCTTGAAGCTGTAAAATAATAAAACTCCCAAGTTAATTTAAAAAAAAAGATACGGCCGTTTATGTCGAGAAAAACGCATATTTCGACACTCAAAGGAAACAATATTCATAGAGTACTTCCATTTTTCTTTCTTTTGTTTATTAAATGCAACACACATTACAATCAATTTAAACATAAATCTTAAATACATCGTTTAGATCTGGATCGTAATGTAACTTATATGTGCACAAAGAAAAACAATGAAGATTATACAAAAAATATCTCTGATTGATGCAGATCTGAATGCTACACATTAGCTGCTTGTTTTTGTCTACATCCTTACATCCTTATCTGTTATAGTTATGATCAAAAACGTCTAGTATTTTATTGATTTTTGAGATATCATTATATTGTCCGGCAATCTTGCTATGGATTATGAAGAAATGTTATTTTTATATATTTGAAGGGCAAATATATATATATCATTAGCCCTACGGGCACTAAATTTAATATTGAAACTGATCTGACAAAGTACCTAACTCTGGTGAATCAATAATATAATGTATAATTTTTGAGACATAAACCAAATCGACATAAGTGCGTCGGGTGTCTAATAGCTCAACCTTATATTTGCTGTGTCTGCTTTCGTAATTTAAATTTGACTGAACAGGGCTTTCTCGGTTGTTGAGAATGTTAAGGAATCTTCATTTGACCTACAACTCTGAAAGGACAATGGCAAATGACAAATAGGGGACTTTTGTACCGCCTTATTTTTGTCATTAGTGCTGTATTTATTTGGCTGGTAATATCATCAAAAATATCAGTTTTAATTACCAGATTTTTAGAACTTTGCGTTCAAAAGTTATTTCAGTTTGTAGTTTCCATAAAGACTGTACGGAAGTCGATACCAATGATAGCTGGCTGTCACAAATGAGTTGTCAATGCTACCAAGAAGTTAACCTAGATATGTTTCAAAAGAATACGTGTATGATTTTCTTGATCCGTCAATAAAAGGCGTCATATGGTTTTTTATGTAATTTATTTTTTATGCATGGCAAGTTTAGAAAATGTAGGAGTGCGGTTTGTTAACAACACTTGAACGTTTAGTTATTGCAGTTGTAACAATTCTTTGAGAAGAATTTATTTACTTTTAGCAAAGTTCTAAAGGTATGATTACATTAAAATAGTTAGGATGACTCACTTTATAAAGGGTACAAATTTCATAATCATCCATCATATGTTACTAGGGGTACAGGATTTGCCGTTCTCCTTTGGCAAGTTCCATCGTCTTATACTACAAGTCCAGGGAAAAATCTGAAACTATACAGACATGATGAACATGACCTAAACAGAATGTCGGGCAAAGCTCGGAAAAAACTTCGATTTCTGTACTATTTATAATATGTACCTACAAATGTCCGCGTCGCACTTGCCCGGATATTTTTTATTTTTGCAAGGGATAGGTATGGTTTATTTCATACCTGGTAATTGCCAATCGGCACTCGAAGTGTTTGGACTTCCGCACCATGTTATAAGACGGCTTCGAGTGTTATAATAACAATATTTTAAGGTAGTAAATCTACACATCTATATACACAACTTAATAAAATTGAAATGTCTGTAATGTCATATTAACATCTTTTAACTAAATGCAACTGAATCTTTATACGTTGGTTATACCAATTAATACATTTTCAATTATTGTTAGTCTGTCCTAGTCATCTGTTCTGGTTAATCTGCGGAACGGGATTACCGATTTCGTCCAGCAGATAGCGATGCAGATAAGGAGTAACTTAAATAAAATATATAAATGCAGATAAGGAGTAACTTAGGCTACGTTAATTCTGGAAAGAAACATTGGGAATCTAAGATTTTTTTTTGTAAATAGTTCACAAATTAACTCAAAACAAACACTTAATTTCTAAAGTTACGGTTTGACAATGGTTTGACACGTAAGTAATCGTTCTACAGTTTTAATCACTCAGTAACCAAATCATTTACTAAAAATGTATATTTTTACTAAAAATGTATTTTTTTTATATAAACACATACAAAAGCTTTTGCAAGAAAACTAAAAACATTCTTTTATCCCTTCGAAATTATGACGAGGTGTCCTGACATTATTTTGACGTCTACGAATTACTTACAACCTGGTTTGTTTCAGTCTTATTCTCGTCAGACTGCCCTTTCAATAAGTCCGGTGTACTGTGTTAAATTATTCCGATTATTACACCTACACTATTGTATAGTATCTAGGCAAATGTTTTTAAGTTACTATTCATTATCCTTAAAGTAATAAAAACTAATTCTATGTCCTAAAAATTTCTACCTAACAGTTGCCATTTTGATTGGGCATAATTATATTTATGTTAATATAATGCCCAATCTCTCTTGATCATATCAGCGGCCTTTTCTGCTATCATGATAGCGGGTGCATTAGTGTGAGCAACGATCGTTCTTGGTATAATACTGGTATCTACAACACGTAGTTTTTTTATACCGTACACTTTTAGTTCAGGATCTACCACAGCCTCAGGATCTGTTGACGGACCCATCTTACAAGTAGCTATTTGATGATGAAGTGTGGATGATAATGTTCTTATTGCACATTCCCAGTAACCGTCACTGTTAAATTCATATTCTTTACAGTTAGGGAATTTCTTCCTGTACAGTTTTGCTCCGTACTTCCTAAAAGGAGGTGTGTCCACTAGTTTTATGATGTACCTGATAGCCGCTAATAACGTATCTATATCTTGTCTATGGGTCAAGTAATTCCCTTTTAGACTTGGATGCTTATAAGGGTCTGTTGAATTCAATTTCAAGTTACCTTTTGACTTTGGATGAGGGAGCATAAATAGCACAGTGAAGCTTTCAGTATTCTCAATTGGTTTATATACTTCTTTGTAAAGCCAGTCTGCAATATGTAATCCCTTTGCCACGACCTGCCCTTCGTCAGATGCTATAGAAGCACAGGTGCCCAGTATTTCTATGTCAGGATGGTCTCCAATTTCATCAGATACGTGTGTTTTAATATATCCTATTGTCTCTACTCCAGCTAAAGACGTCATAGGTCCTTGACCATAATGATTGTATTGAATAACAGTATCAATTGTAGCTATCTTTTTTTGAATTAAGGTTAAATTCGTTGTGTTCAGAGTGAAAACTAGAGCCGGGAAATAAATGTGATCGTACAAAGATTCACCCACTTTCAGGTTTTGTATCACAGGTATACCAAATGACTGTAAATGGTTTTTAGGCCCTACTCCAGAAAGCATTAGTAGATGGGGTGATTCAATAGGTCCTGCTGACAGTATTATTTCCTTTCTGGCTCTGATTTGATAAATTTGTCCATTTTTATTAAATTCTACTCCAACAGCTGTTTTCGATACTGGGTCAATGATGACTTTGGTAGCTCTGCTTGTTGTCAGTATATGAAGATTTTTTCTTTTTTTGTTATTGTGTAGAAAAGCTTTAGCAGCACTTGCGCGATGCCCTCCAGACATAGTGGCTTGAATGTAACTAAATCCAAACGAGTCCGGGCTATTGTAGTCAACTGTGTGGTGACCTAATAATTTTACCGCGTCCATAAATGCTTTTGACAATTTGGATCTGCAATCAATATTTATACTTACTCAATATGTTTGTATATACATAATTTCAAATCTTTTTTTTCACCACTTAGTTTTCAAATAAGTACGTTACCAATCTGATCTCTATTAGTAATAACAACTATAAAAAAGCTGGAAACCGCAATAAACAGTTAGGTTAGTTAATTTTTCACAATGAAACGAGCAAGCCTTACAGTAGTCGCCTATGATAACCATGATCAGATATCTTATATCTCGCCTACCATTTGACGACAACTCTAGCACCGTGCGCCTTTTGGTCAAATCAAATAACTTATCTGTCTCTTTCTTCTTTCTCTTTTTATAGAATCACTCCCACAGTATGCAGGAAAGTGAAAGGAAAGATGTTACACATCAATAAATCTATTTGTGTTAGCAACGATACACCACTGCATTTAAACAATGTAAATGTCTACTTAGCCAAAACAAACGAACAGTGGAAATATGGTTGTAGCACTTGTATGACTTCGATTTTCTGTTTATCTATACATATAAAATAAAAGTTATACCTAAACGGTATATCTTCTACGCTTAACTCCCCGTTTCTGCCATGCCAAGATGAATTCTGGAGTCCTTTGAGATTAGCGCGTTCAGATTTAATGAAGTACTGCATGACGTCGTTGTAAGACCTGGAAGGAATTAAAAAGAGAAAGTGATATATCAGACCGCTTTTTTCTTATAAAGATATATCTTTATTATATACGAGGGTGCGTTTTTAAGTTCGCGGAATGAGAGGGTTGGAGGGGGGTGATTAGGCTCCTTAGAATCGTCACGTGTTCAGTAACTCATAATTAGTATGAATACCAGGTTTCATTGTTATAAGACAATTAGTCTTTGAGTTATCGTCAACCAAGCAACATAATCGAGAGTGAAAAGTGAAACTTGGAAAAAATCGAATATCGTGCCGTTATAAAGTTCCTTACCAAGTAAGGAAAATCAGTTGCGACCATAATGAATGGGATGTCATTGGTTTACGGCGACTCTTGCCCAGGAAAAACCATAGAGTACAAAGTAAAGTAAGTAGCACAGTTTATTTAAACAAGGAAGGGAATCCCTTGAGGACGACCCGAGGCCGGGCAGGAGCATCGAGGTGATCACATCAAAAAATCAGTCGAAAAAATTGTACTCGACGGTGCTCGACTAAAGAAGAAACAACTCGCAGAAATGGTTGGAGTATCTGATACAACCATTTTTAGAATTCTGCACGATCATTTTGGCACGACAAAGGTCAGTGCAAGATGGGTGCCGAGAATGCTCACGCCGACGCAAAACAACAGCGCCGTAGAGTGTTCACGTGCATTTTTAGACCTTTGTAATGAAGACAAGGATGCTGTATTGAGTAGAATTGTTACTGGAGACGAAACTTGGGTTCATCATTATGAACCTGAGTCGAAACAAGACTCCATGCAGTGGCATAAAAAGGGCACAGCACCTCCCAAGAAGTTTAAGGTGTCACAGTCAGCTGGGAAACTCATGGCAACGGTCTTTTGGGACTCAGAAGGAATATTATTGATCGATTATAAAGATAAAAGTGTTTCTATAACCGGAGAATACTACGCTTCAATATTAGAGCGACTCAAAGAAGCCATTAAAGAGAAAAGACGGGGAAAATTGACAAAAGGTGTGTTGCTTTTGCACGACAACGCGCCCGTCCACAAGAGCCGCGTTGCGTTGGCTGCCCTGCATAAGGTGGGCTTCGATATTTTGAATCACCCACCCTACAGCCCAGACCTGGCCCCCAGCGATTATAACCTGTTTCCAAAAATGAAAAAAGAGCTGCGGGGTAAAAAATTTACCAACGATGACGAAGTCAAGGAGGCAGTTTCGGCGTATTTTAAAGACAAAGAGAAAACATTTTTTTATGAGGGTATAAACAAATTAATTGAAAGATTTGAAAAATGTATCCGTCTTGCAGGTGAATATATTGAAAAGGAAAAATAATTTGGTTTTTTTATTTCCACCCCTTATCCCCCATTCCGCGAACATAAAAACGCTCCCTCGTATATATATCATCATCAACAGCTTTTGATAATGCACTAATGGGCACAGGCCGCTCCTTAGAAAGGAGGTTTTGGCCTACTATACCACGTTGGCCAGTGGAGTTGGTTTGTTTCAAGTTTTCCTTCATTTGTTGTATATAATACATATGTATATTTCCCGTCCGTATGGTGACGCGTCCGTGTGGTGACGGATTAAGAATACGGCATGTCACCACCCCTATTCATCCCGTGGGTGTCGTAAGAGCCGACTAAGGGAGCAAACTACGCAGGACAACAGCACTACAAAGAAAAAGAAAACTTGAAACAAACACTATATCAACCCGTCTGGCCAGCGTGGTATAGTAGGCCAAAACCTCTTTTCTAAGGAGAGACCTTTGTCCAGCAGTGGACTGTTATAGGCTGTTGATGATGTATATTTCCAATGTCGATGTCAATCTTATATAATAGGTCTTTACCTATGAAATTGCCGTTTTGTATGCAATCAGTGAAAGTACTTATTTTTTCAAACTTTTTTATTTCTGTTATTCGAAGTAATCACCCATGCAATCGACGCATCTTTGCCAACGCATTGGCAGTTTATTGATGCCCTTCTTGTAAAAATCAGCTGGACGGTAGGCAACAAACTCTTCAAAGGCATTTTGTACTGCCTCTCGGGAATTGAATTTTTTACCCACTAAAAAGTTGTCTAAATTTTGGAAGCTTTGGTCAATCGGTCGTCCCCACTGCTCCTTCACGACAACGCGCGACCCCATACTGCGCAACAGACAGTCTCCAAGCTGCAAGAGCTGGGGTTGGAAGCTCTCCCTCATCCGCCATACTCACCAGACCTTGCACCTACCGACTATTACTTTATTCGTCGCTGAACTTGTAACTGTTTCTCAAAAGAACCAGGTATTGCAGGCAGCTCGAAAGTTCAATAATGGTCGATCGACAATCGAAAAATTAAATACAAAGCATATTGGCCTAGACACTAAGCCTATCTATGTGGGTGATCATCCGTCAAGTAGCCTCAGACAGCTATTTTTTGAAGCTCGCAAATACGCCAACGATAATAATTACAGGATTTGCTGGTCACAGAATAATAAGATTTTTCTTCGGCAACATGAGGGTATGCCTTCAATCACTATTGAATCTCTGGCATGTCTTAATAACTTGCCCAAGTTACAATAGTCTTCTATTTTTTGTGAAGCTTTATTTTCTAAAATATTTAATATTATATATTTTTGTATCTTTCACTGTTAAAATTTTAAAAAATGTGTACGAGTATAATAGAAGCATACGAATACTTTACATTTATATACACTATCTTTTACTATACAAAACAAAATTAATAGTTCAATACAAACACTTAAACGCTTACACACTTATTTATGTATACTGTGGTCTTATTTATTATATGAACCTAACATCACAGGGGCCATGAATATACACAAAGCATTAGCCATAGTTTCACCCTATTACCCGATTTATTTAATAATTTTTATATCATTTTATACGTTGGGTAACATGTTTTTTGAAATACATCTCACAAATCTCAATCTAAAATACAATAGTAGCAAAGATTATAAGAAATTGTTGCTACTTTTACATATAGACTTGTGCCTGTTTCGCGGTGGGGTAGAAACCGACTACAAAAAACTTGCACTTTGCAAAAATCTGAATTGTAATGGAAGCAATAGTAGTTATCATAAATGGTTGCTATTGTCTCATAGTCAGGCACTTGTAATAACTGTTGTTGTTGTACCTATAATTGCTTTCTTTTACCTCATAAATGTTCGATCTAAGCACAATAATAAATGAACTGGATTCTATGGGTGCAACACAGTCATGCGTGTGTAAACCAGAACAATGTAGTGGGCTCTTAAATAATAATTTAAATTCAGTGAACATATTGCATGTTAATATACGTAGCGTGAACCATAATTTTGATGAATTTACAGTATTCTTGAGTAATTTATCTATCCTACCTGAAATAATAGTATTATCTGAGTGTTGGCTGAGCAAGGTGTCTACCCATCCAACTTTGAGCGGTTATGTTGGTTATCATGCGGTAAAAAACATTAATCAAAACGATGGTGTTATTGTTTTTGTAAAGACATCAATTATACACACCGTCATTGAGTCTCACATACAGGACACAAATTGCTTTATTTGCAAAATTGAGTCTTTAAATCTTGCTATAGTTGCTCTTTATCGCCCACCCTGTAACCGTAATATTGACAATTTTTTGTACGACTTAGAGGATACACTTGCGTCTTTATGTAGTTATAAAAATGTGGTTCTTATCGGAGATATTAATATTAATATCATCCCGGCACAGCTAAACAGTATGGCGAACGATTATCTTAATCTAACGGCATTACATGGACTTTTACCAACGCACAATTTACCTACCCGTGACAAAAGTTGTTTGGATCATGTTTTTTTTTTAAATCTGATCTCAAAACCATTACACTAATAATTGATTCTAGTATCACAGACCACGCACCGGTTCTTTTCAGCATGAAAACGTTATTAAGACCAAACAAACGCAAAAGTCACTTTGTCAAAGTAGATTATTCTTCTGTTTACACGGATATTTCGAACACCGATTTCTCACAAATAATAGATACATCTGATCCTAACGTTGCATCTGAGATGTTGATTACAAGGATTGGGTCATTAATACAGAAGCACTCTAGAATAATGCGCACACCATCTAAACAGGTAATTTTCAAACCCTGGATCACTAAAGGATTGCTCAGATGCATACGAAATAGAGACTCCATGAGGACACAGCTTAAAATAAATCCTGATAATTATACCCTTAAAGTAACCTATCTTAGATACCGAAATTTCTGCAATAAATTACTAAAAAGATTAAAACATAACTACGAGCATAATGAACTACGGCAAGCACGAAATAATCCACGGTCTACTTGGAAAATAATTAAAAACATTACTGACACGGATTCCATTAAAAAATCCCCTGCTGAACTTTTAAATATAGACAGAGATAATTTGACATCTGTAAACCGTGTTAATGAGTACTTCTCCCGCATCGGTAGTGACTTAGCATTACAATTTAGTTCTAACATACAAAATAATCAACTGCCAAATCATAACATTAATGCTAACTCTTTGGTCCTTTTGCCAACGGATGAGTCGGAGGTTGAATTAATTATACGAAGTTTGCGTAAAGATGCTGCTGTCGGATGGGACGCGATACCTGCTCATTTATTGCAAAAGTGCTCAAACACCTTGGTACCAATAATAACCCACATTTGCAATATTTCTATGGCTGAGGGGATTTTCCCCAAATCTTTTAAGAGGGTTGTCGTGCATCCCATCTTTAAGGGTGGAGACAGAGACAGTGTCAATAATTACAGGCCCATATCTGTCCTGCCTGCACTGTCCAAAATCCTAGAGAAGTTGCTAAACACCCGCTTATCAATTTTTTACAGAAAAGCAGTATTTTAGCGCCTAATCAATTTGGTTTTAGGGTAGGAATGTCGACTGAAGACGCGGTGGCTTCTCTGGTGGATGAAATAGTAAACAGCCTCGAAAATGGACAGAAATGCCTGTCGATATTTCTCGATCTTACCAAAGCATTTGACACTGTCTCTGTTCCACATATCTTACGGGATATGGAAAGAATGGGCATCCGCTGTTATGCGCTCGGAATTTTCAAAGATTATCTTTCTGATAGGACACAGTGTGTAAAGATAGACGACATTGTTAGTAGCAGCGAGCCCCTTCTCTTTGGTGTCCCACAGGGATCGATATTTGGCCCAACCCTTTTCCACCTTTACATAAATTCCCTGTGCACCTTATCCCTTCCCTATTCTTCTATCATTACCTACGCAGACGATACTGCAATACATGTCCGTGGCTCAGACTGGCCATTAGTGTTTGCTCGTGCAGAATGCGCTCTTAGTCGTGTAATGCAGTGGCTATCCAACAATCTTCTTACACTTAACCTTAAGAAAACTACTTACATCACGTTCTCAAAGACAGCTAAAACTCAACCACCTTTGGAAACCTTCAATATAAGAGCTCATACTTGTTCGACATACACATCCACTGATACCTGCAACTGTCCAACTATACTGAGATCCGCACACACAAAGTATCTGGGAGTGTTTGTTGATAGTCATATTTCATGGAAATACCAACTGAGCAATGTAACTGCCCGCGTCCGCAAGATGATATACATTTTCAAAAAATTGCGTTGCGCAGCTGATTTTGACACCCTGAAATCAGTTTATTATGCACTGTGTCAATCTGTTTTAACATATTGTATATCTATCTGGGGTGGAGCTGTGAAATCGTACCTTCTGCCCCTGGAGCGAGCACAAAGAGCAGTCCTTAAGGTAATGACTTTTAGGCCTATTAGATATTCGACTGCACAATTATATCACGAATGTGAACTGCTTACTGTCAGACAGCTCTTTGTGCTTGAAACAATCTGCAGAAAACATATTGGTCTGGAATATGACATTGAAGTCACAAGAAAGCGCCGTGCACGCAAGGTCTGCCAAAGTTCTAGAAGTGCGTTAGCTGCGCGCAGCTTCAATGTCGTAAACTGCCACTTATATAATGTAGCTAATCAATACTGTGACATCATCCATTAACTAGATCGCAATGCAAGAAACGAGTTACCATATGGCTCTTGTCCAAATCTTATGAAGATACAGAAAATTTGATTAAACTAAGTACACTATAATTCTAAAGCATCCCTCACGCACACATACACACACACACACCAACATACATACAGACTTTGTAATATTATATAATAATAATAAAGCTTTATTTAATTCCATTCAGCCTATTACCATACATTCTGATTAATAAATATAATTCTTTTAAAATAATTTCAATTACATTACGCTCACATTAAATTAATTTGTCTATTGTTATTATTTTGTCTTGGCTGTTATGGACCCAATACGGGTAAAAGCCTCCTCTAAGGATTTCCATCTTTCTTTGCGTCTAGCAAAGTGTATCCAATTTTCTCCTGCTACCTTTACCAGTTCATCTGTCCATCTAGTGCATGGGCGGCCTCTAACCCTACGACCTGTAGGGCCTTGCCAGTTCACCACTCTAATGGTCCACCTATCGTCATCGTAGCGGGCTACGTGTCCTGCCCATCTCCATTTCATTTTCAGCGAGAAAATTAAAGCGTCGGTTATTTTGGTTTTGTTCCGAATGTGCTTATTTTTAATCTTGTCCTTTAATTTTACACCTAATAAGCTTCTTTCCATTCTTCTTTGTGTAGTTTGTATTTTGTTTCTGGTTTGTTGGTCGAAAGTCCAAGTTTGAGAACCGTAGGTAAGACACGGTAAAATCACAGAATCCATAACTATTTTCTTAATTGGCGGTTTGAGTTGTGATTTGAGTATTTCTTTGTGTGCCCAGTATTTATTCCATGTTATTGATATTCTGCGACCTATTTCCTCCCTGTTTCTATCTTTTCTAAAAGAAATTTGTTTGCCCAAGTAAACATAACTCTCTACAAACTCTAGAGGGATGTTATTTACGAAGATGGATGTGGTGTGGTAATTAGTCATTATTTTCGTTTTAGCAAGATACATTTCAAGACCGACCATGATGCTGGCTCCGTGTAGATCGCTAATCATATTATTCAGTTGTGCAGAGCTCTCGGAGAGTAAAATTATATCGTCAGCGAAGCGGAGATGGCTTAGGTATTCGCCGTTTATGTTTAATCCCTTCCTGGACCATTGTAGGTTTTTCATTAGATGTTGTAGTACAGCTATGAATAGTTTTGGTGAGAGCGGGTCGCCCTGCCTCACAATATAATATACTCGTATATAAACAAATAGTAATACGATATATATCATTATAATATTAATATCTATTTCTATAGGTTATTCTTACCTTAAGGCTTAAACAATCCACCTCATGCGTATGCAACTACGATACATTACACTTTTACATTAACTACCTGTTGCAATTAAGTACGAGAGCCCCGGTACCCATACCACAAGTTAAATCTTACTTTGGGTACCAGAGGTCAACAAAACTATTGTACATGTTGAATTGTTATAACTTATGTGTGTTTTTACTGTATGTATCTTTTTGAGACAATAAATTATATATATATATATATATATATTTATTGCATACAAAACGGCAATTTCATATTTAAAGACCTAATATAAGTAATTTGGGAAATAAGCTAAGGCCTGGCGGAATAGTTATCCATCATCTGACTCAGGGTTTACTTATATTATTGTTACGTGTTAGGGTTCGTGATATATCGTGACATTATTAGTGCAAATACTAAACATTTATTCGGTACGTTTCGGGTTTATTAAAAAAAAAAATGGCACTCCAAGTAAGTAACTCCAATAAGTTTTCACTTCTGAGTGCCGTCAGAAGTGAAAACTTATATATAGATATATCGGTAACGGTAACTGTGTCGCGAGTTCTTTGGTTTTTTCCATAAAATACATTATTTTGTTTGTTATTCAAAAATGACCAACGCGCCTAAATAAGTTTTCACTTCAAAAATAAAGTCAGGCGACTAGTTTTTTATTATTATTTATACTTGTTTAATATTAATATTTGTGTTTTAAGTCATATTTGTTTTTGTGCGTGTTTGTATGCACCAACTTGCGTAGCCATTTCATTCTTTACTCATTATATTATATTTATTTATATTTATTTTTCCTGTTTCAGGTAAGTCAAGTATCGCCTTATTGTTTATCGCCTTATATTTTGGTAAGTTGTATTATCCATATCTTACTGCTAAATTAATGCAATGTATATTTTTACTCAATTGCGCAAGAATGGTAAACGAATCCAGATGAAGTAAGGTAACGAGATAATTGTCGTGTTTAATAGCACAAGGCTACTTTTTATCTCTTCGAAATTGCTTAACAAAATGGAAATTTACTTTAAACGGAACAGCTGGCAAAAGCTAGTTATAATTATTCTAATCTTACCACCCATAGTTACCAGCGGCAGCTATCCTGTCCCAATCATTCTGTAGTCCTCGAGAATAGATCATGTAATTCACCACGCTTGAACCTCCTACTGCTTTTCCTCTAGGCCAGTAGCATCTACCATCAGTCATTCCTGAAATCGTTAAACATTTTCAATGTTATGGTTTGAGTTTGTATGAGAGATTTATATTTTGATCTCAATAACTCTTAAGAATAGTAATAAACAAACTAAATAATAGTTGACCCCAAAGATTCATTTCACTTGTTATTTACCATGCAGGTAAAACAAGCTTGATTTGTTATACTTAGGCCCGTATTTTAAAAGGTGTCTCAGTCGTGAATCTATTCTTAAAACTAATTTTAAGTAGAGATTTTATTATTGAACGTCACTTAAAACAAGATTCACCACTTCATACTCAAGTGAGTGATAGCTTATTTTAGAACGATGTTTATGTCGAAATCATTACTAAGGTATAGATTTTGACAGCTGTGATCTTTGTTTACGTGAGACAAGCTGAAACTAGTCTCAAACGGTGATTTCTAGGGCATTTAGGGGAAATGAATGTGTTTTACGATGATATGTTTTTAAATAATTACGAAAGATTTACTTTACTTTATTTGCGAAAGAATTACTTGTCATACTATAATCAATTTCACTTTAATTTACCTTAATTGATATGAAATTCACCAAAATTCACATTTTACACACACAATACCAGTTTAAATTTCCACAACCTTTTAGTTTATGTTAAAAGTATAGTAATATAAAATTTCAGAAATATCAAATAAAAACATCGTTTGACATTTCAACATGACAAGTGTTGATAAATAACTTGAACGTTCCGTTATAGCCTATTCATACAGCTAGTCATTTTTATTTTAATATTTATTATATTTAATTTTGAACGAACAACAAGCTTATTAATATGTTAACATTGCTACACTGGCTAATAGTATATTATAAACAAATTCACAGAAATTATGTTTGTTAAAGAAAAATATTTTTTAAATAATTAGCTGCGTAATGCGGAATAATAATGTCAATCATGCGAAAACGTAATTGAGAACAGACTGTAAGTTGAAATCAATACTTGAAACTAGTTTCAACTGAGTAAAACTTGAAACGCGTTCTATAATAAGATCGATACTTAAGATTTGATCTGCACTTAAAACTAGTTTCAGGCAATCAGAGTTCAACCGACACTTGAGACGTCTTTTAAAATACGGCCCTTAATGAAAACGGCGAGTATATTGTTTATGTTATTACCACTCCCTCAAAGTAGGTATATCAAATTATGTATTGAACTTTTGTGTATGGTTTCATTTTTATCAAGATATCGTTTTCCTCCTCTTCAAATATTTCTGTTTTTAACCATAATTTATTATAGTTTTGAGCAGGGCTGACAGGTTGGTATTAGTTTATACCTGTACTAAAGCAATAGCATGCTCTTTTCATTCCGCTGGGCATCTTTGGCCTTGCTAGCCTTTAGATAGATAGATAGATAACTCTTTATTGTACAAAAAAAACATAATAAAAAGAAGAAATCAGTTTGTATACATAGTGTGTCTTATATCTAAACTTAAATTAATGTAACATGGAGAGTAAAATGTTAAAATTTGTACAATTGGCGGCCTTATCGCGTTTTGCGATCTCTTCCAGGCAACCACTGGATGGAGAAGGAGAATAGGAGTGAGATAGGGGGTTGCAGTTTGTAGATCGGAGTTTTTTGTAAATTAAGACTATTTGATTATACAAACTAATTCAAACATATACACTAAACACATACACACATCACAACACAATAAATTCATTACACAAAATATACATTTAACAGAGACTATAGAAGTAAGAGACAGATAAATAAAAGATTTCTGACTGAGTGAAGGGACCCTCGCTTAGCAGCTTCGGAAATGCTCCTTCAGCAACCTTTTGAAACAGGGCAGTGTTTTTGCTCGTCTGATGGGCAGTGGCAATGCATTCCACAAGCGTATAGACTGCACTGTAAATGACTTGTCCATAAAAGTCGAGGTGTGCTTCGGCATTTCCAAAGTCAAGCTCTCTGACGATCTTAAGGACTTTGAATGCGTATCACGTAGGAATCTGAAGCGTTCCTTTAAATAAAGGGGAGTGTTGGGATTAAAGAGAATATTGTATAATAGTGAAAGGATATGAATATTCCGGCGAAGACGAATGGGTAACCAGTTAAGCTTATTCCGAAATTCAGAAATATGGTCAAATTTGCGCAATCCAAAGATGAACCTTATGCAAAAGTTTTGGAGCCGCTCAACCTTATTAAGTTGGTCTTCGGTGAGATCGGGATAGCTGGTATCTGCGTAGTCAAGGATTGGGAGAAGAAGGGATTCTGCAAGCGCAATTTTGGTCGTAATTGGTAAAAAGTTACGCAGCCTTCTCAGAGATCCAACAGAAGCAAACAGTTTCCTACTGACTTCTTGTAGTTGCGGACCCCAGGACAAGTTTTTATCGAGGTGAATTCCCAGATTTTTAATGGTGTTCGAGATCGGAACTAAGGCCCCATCGCAGTATTATCAAAAGGACATTATCAAAAGTCGATTGGTCACATCAGCCCCAAATGGCTGATGTGACCAATCGACTTTTGATAATGTCCTAGTGCCACCGATAATGATTGTTTGAGTTTTAGATGGATTCACTATTAACCCGTGTTGCCTGCTCCAAGTACAAATCTGCTCTATATCCCGGTTAATAATCGAGATCGCTGCTCCTAGTTGTTCCACGGGTGCTTGAGCATAGATCTGCAAATCGTCTGCATAAAGGTGGTAAGATGAAGCTAAGTTATTGGAAATAGAGTTTATAAAAACCGCGAAGAGCAAGGGAGATAAAACGCCACCCTGTGGTACGCCAGCAGTTGTAGTGCACCAACCAGAGAGTCTTTCATCGATTCGAATACGCTGCCGACGCCCGAACAGGTAGTTACGAAACCAGTCAACAACCGTCGGAGATATGTTAAGAGAGCACATTATGGCAAGCAAGACGTCAAAGTCAACAGTGTTAAAGGCAAGGCAAGACGTTCGAGAGTTTTAGATAGGAAGGGTAGGATAGAAATCGGACGATAATCGGAGAAACTGGATGGATTTGATTTCTTAGGTAATGGAGTTATTAATGCTTCTTTCCAAGCAGTTGGAAAGTTTCCGGTTGCCATGGAGAAGTTAAATAAGTGAACAAGGACAGGAATGATTTCTTCTAGGATAGGCAGGATCATATCACGGCTGATACCATCGCTACCAACTGCGTTGGAGTTAATAGAGAGTATGCTCTTCCTAACATCACAATCGGAAAATTGACTAAAGACAAATGTAGGAGAGTCTAGAGTTGGGAGAGAAGAAAGATATTGTATCGTGTTATTTTTTGGTGTCTTACTTCACCATCAAACAGGCCGTGTGCTTATTTACGTACTTAGATGTATAAAATAATATGCAATTTTTAAAATTTTAAATAAATGATAACCTGTACAAATTCCTGGTTGATAATCCATAGTGTACGGCCAGACATATTCAGTTTGTTGGAGCAGTGGTGCCAGAATGGGCACGTCGGTTACTAAAGATTCTCCAAGTCCTGCTTCTAGAAGTAAGACTGAGGCTTTACGACCTTCACTGAGACGAGACGCTAGGACACTACCTGCTGACCCTGCCCCCACAATTATAAAGTCATACTCCGCTAGGGGTCCATTGAAACCTGTAATTGAAAGAGGAAAATGTTAGCAATATTATAAATTATTAAAGTATCTCGTTAATAATCAAAAATGATATTATGATTTGCATCCGATCCCATCCGTATGGTGGATAGCAAACCCTGTCGTAATCCCTTTTTGGAAACAGGCTTGTCATTATCACTGTTTTTTTGTATATATTCTACATCGTATGTATCCTAATTATGGTGTACAATAAAGAGTAACTATCTATCCATATTACCTACTCGACTCGACGATCTCGGCCACGAGGGGCTCGTGGCTAAGTGGTAACCGAGTAGATTAACACATTGCAAAGTTAAGCAATCATAGCCAGATCAGTCTATGGATGGGTGACCATTCTTAACACATTGAGACGGGCAAGTCGATTTTTTTCCATGCTTTCCTACCACACCGTCACTGGTTTGAGTCACCGACTGGGATGAGTAGAATTTACCCTCCGTGCCTTGGAGAGCACGATAAGCTTTCGGTCCCGTTTGCCATAAGAACTTCTGTCTCAATCGTTACGGGTAGTTGGAGTCCTAGAAAGCCCGACAACCGACAGTTCTGTAGAAAGACTTTTCCATAGAACTTCGATATCACCTACAAGGTGATATCGAAGTTCTATAGAAAAGTCTTGAGTTGTGGAGAAGTTCAGCCGTATCGAAGTAGACTTAAAACCGGCCACAACCTAGTTTGAGAAAAAGGCTCGGAGGAAGAAGTATAGTAGCCTACTATTATCAGAGTGTTACGAGATTATACGTGGAAAGAATAATTTGTAGGCCTTCTTTGGCACGTTACACGCTGGAGGAATTTAACACACATAATACAGTTAATTTTCTGTATTATGTGTGCTTTATACGTAAACATTTTGTGAGTGCAGCCAGATCGAGCTGCACTTGTCCAGTGTATCCATAATATGACTTGACTTACCAGGAAGTCATTATATACATAAATGTATATAATGGCTTCCTGGTAAGTTAAGTCTTAAATTGTGACAGTACTGGATGTTTAAAGCTACATTTTGTGTTACAAATAGGTAAAAATTTCATGTTTTTGTTTTAATTGCACGCAACCAGGTTACGGTCGTTGGTGATAATTGCCATAATGTCTGGTTCCGACAAGATGGAGCGCCTCCTCATTTCGCTATACCTGAGAGAAATTATTTAAACCCCACCTTTAACAATCAGTAGATAGGTAGATGAGGACCAGCTGATTAGCCAGCAAAGTAAGCCGGATTTTTTTAAATGGTTTTTTATAAAAAGTAAAGTGTACATCGACAAACCACGAGATCTGTTTGAACTAAGACAGCGAATAGTGAACGTATGCGCAGAAATACCTGAAGAAATGATAAGGAGTGCCATCGATAATTTTTAATGGATTCATAGGAACATCACTTCATAGGAATTTAATCATTTTGCATTCAGTAGCTTTATTCAACCTGTCTCTTCAATTAACCCAAAATGTTTCAGCTTGCTTTGAGTGGCCGGGAGTTTATTAGTTGATGACTATGATAATTTTTCCTATTCAATTTTCTAATAAAGTCTAGGTCTGATTAAACAAACATGACCGTTACCTTGAAATTTATAATCAAAGTTTACCCATTCATGATCTAATGTCTCCAATAAATAGCCAGGAAATAACCCTGAATCTCGTAGCTTTATGTCTCTTGGTGAGAATAATCAATTTCCTATGGCTTTGTGAGTTTGACCTTAGAGTGGCGACCTTTAGAGGTCAAAATTTTGGTACTAAAGGTCATATCCGATTGTAATTTTTTCCTTTCTTCAATTCCGGGCTCAAAAATATCAATCCTTACTCTCAAGGAAGTTACCCATCAAAAGATGATGGAAGGTCACTTATATAATTATTTAATTTACTGTGTGTTACAACTACACCCATCTCACATTATTGATCTTACACATCTTTTATTGTGCTCATCACACAATTATTTCGCCTGGGTGGGAATCGAACCCACGACCTCTGGCTTAGCAGTAAGGATCATTAACCGTTGGACCTGTATTTCTAAGCCTTAATGTATTTATTAATCTTGTACTCCTCTAATTTTATAAACTTTGTCTCTAATTAAATTAATAATAAACCAATACAGTACTCGTATATTTTAAATATTTTATAAATGTTAGCATGCGCTACGTTTACCGAAATTTAATTTTTGATCTTATGAGTCCTTACTAGTGATCTGCTAGGGTATCTTAAAGATCTTTATCGGAATAGGTATCCGTCATTTTTAGAGAATCTTAAACGGATCTTATACATTGAAATTGCAGGATTATTTTGCCAAAATTAAATTTTGAAACATATCATGTTCAAACCTCAAAAAAAAAATACAGAGTAAAATGATTACATACTACATAAAAAAAATATATCAAAACATTAAACATAAACCAGTTTTACATAAAGTTAATTATAACAAAGTATGCGTCTGTGTAGGTTTTAGCCAGAATCTTCTCGAAATAATATTTCATCATCTACTTTGAACAATACTATTTTGTCCTTTATCCAAATAAATACGATAGATACGTGTATTTAATGTACATCAAAATTGCCTATTATAGCATTTCGTTAAAGTAAATATCTTAGATCTTAGATCTCAGAGGTTTAAATGCGGGGGCAACGTCTGTCCCGGGTGGCAGCAGCCAGCAGGAGCGGAGCGGGCCTATAGTTAAATATTGCATATATAAATATGTCCTGTAGTATAATCTTATCATAACAGTAGTATAATTTATTACTCCACACTGAAACCGCATTAATGTTAGTAGTATCTACATTGTACCCGTGGGAAGCCTGGGACAGATCGCTAGTAAATAATATAATAATTTATAGTAAATATTATTTCAGTCCGTGTGGTGACGGATTAAGAATACAGAGTGTCACCACCCCTATTCATCCCGTGGATGTCGTAAGAGTCGACTAAGGGAGTAAACTATGTAGGACAAAAGCATTGCAAAGAGAAGCAAAACTTGAAACAAACCCTTTTTTTTTTTTTTTTTTTTTTTTTTTTTTTTTTTTTTTTTTTTTTTTTTTAACGTGTGGAAATCCCCTCGGACCGTCACCCCTCCGGGGTTTGCGGCGGGGTGGTGTGTCGGACTCGGACCGACTAAAACCACACGGTGTGCCACTCTGCGCCTGTAACAGGAGGGATCCGGGAACAGCTGTTGTTAAGACATCCGGACCCCTCCTAGCGCCAGCCCGCTCCTGGTGCGGGCTCCGTCTCGATATATTTTCCCTCTCTTTAGGCGACGTCCGGCACACGCGGACGCCGCCCCCTCGCGGCTGGCCAACTAATGCGGGTGGAGGGGAAACCCACCCCGTCCACCCGCGGCCACACTCAGGGCGGCATGAGGCTGTGATAGCCGGGCCTCCGCCGCCCGGTTCGCCGGCGGCGGATCGGGTCCGAGTGGAGGTCGTCCTCCCGGGCCCTCTCCGCCGCCTCCTTCCGCGAGATTACTACCTCGCAGAAGGTTGCGACCGCGGTAAAACAACTGTCGCTACCGGCCATGGAGCGTACTACGGCCGGTAGCGAGAGATCCACTCCGATGACTGCAGTGAGGGCCCGGCGCTGCGCCGCCCATGCGGGGCAGACCGCCAGCGTGTGCTGGGCCGAGGCCTCACTGCAGTCGCAGTGGTGGCAGGCGGGACTCAGTTCCCTCCTAGCGACCGTGTGCAGGTACTTTCCGAAGCAACCGTGCCCGGAAAGCACCTGCGTCAGTCGGAAGGAAAGGGTCCCGTGCTGCCGCCCTGCCCACTCGGCGATGACCGGCTGGAGAGCCTCCACGGCGGCGAAGCCAGCGCGTGGAGTCTCCAGCCGGAACGACCAACGAGCCATCGTGGCTCGGCGAGCGGCTTCGCGCCACTCGCGCACATCCTCGGGCGGAGGGCGAAATCCGCCCTCCGCCCGGAAGTCAGCCACTCGCCGATAAACTTCGGCGAGCACTTCCGCCTCCAAATCCCACGGGGGAGTTCCGGCCAATGCGCATGCCACCTCCGTCGAAACGGTGCGGTAACCGCGTATGGCTCTGACCGCCATTACCCTCTGAGGGCGCCAGAGGCGTACCCTATTCTGGGCGGTCAGAGCCGCCGCCCACACCGGTGCACCGTACAGTGCCATTGACCGGACAACCCCCGTGTACAGCCGTCTTGTCGCGACGCTGGGTCCACCCATATTGGGCAAGAGTCGCCCTAGGGCAGACGCAGCGCCGACCAGCTTTGGAGCAAGCTGTCGGAAGTGCTCGTCGAAGAGCCACCTCCCGTCGAGGATCAGGCCCAGATATTTCATCTGGGCCCGAACCGGTACGAGGACCGAGTTGACCACAATGGAGGCGCCAGGGGGTGGACCACGACGGGGCCCATGGAATAACAGGGCCTCCGTCTTATCTAGGGCCACCCGTAAGCCCAGCGCCTCAATGCGCCCGACCACCAGGGAGACTCCCCCTGTGGCCAGGCGCGCCGCCTCTTGGAAGTTTGCCCCCCGGGCTGTCACGAGGGTATCGTCTGCGTAACAGATTACACCCAGCCCGGGGGGGAAATCGGCGCGAAGGGCCCAGTCGTACCCTATGTTCCACAAGAGGGGTCCAAGAACAGACCCCTGTGGAACACCGCACGACATGGGCCGACTCCTCAAATTACCTTCTCGGTCCTCGTACACGACGGTACGCTCCTCTAAATAGTCTGCCACCAGCCGCCTCAGGTACTTTGGCACCCCATGATAGTGGAGTGCTTCCCTGATGCAGCTGAATGGCAGACTATTGAATGCGTTGGCGATGTCCAATGACACCGCCAACAGCACGCCGCCACAGCTCACGGCCTCTTCGGTCACGGCCCTCAGGCGCAACACAGCGTCGACTGTCGAACGCCCCCGCCCGAAAACCAAATTGGGCGTCCGACAGATCGGGGCCCACCTCGCAGAGGTGCCGGACGATGCGGGCAGAAAGAACCCTCTCAAACAATTTGCCCGCCTCGTCCAGCAGCACGATGGGCCTATAGGCCGCGA